CTCTTGTTACTGTTTCCACCTATAAAGACTAAATGGAGAAAAGTAACAGTTTAATATTTCTAAAAAAAAAAAAAAACCAACCCTAATATTGGTTATCTTCTCCTTTGGACATAATCTTATCTCCAGAAAGTCCCTTTGCAATGAAACATTATTTATAAGAGGAAGAGAAGTGAGCTATGGGGAAGAAACCAACATCAGCACTGATTATTGTGGTCCTATCACCTTCTAGACAGAATTTCCTCCATGAAATCACACATCATAGCTCTGTTTCTGACACATTATCAGTAAACTGATTTAGCCTCAGTCATAATCTTTTGAGCCAAATGTTTGCAATACTTAAGAATGCTACAAGTGCTTGTGTTCGTGCCAGCAGGTAAATGGACTTATTGTAAGAACAACCTGGTTAAAGACAAATTGATAATCCCAATGCTCATCCAACAATCCCAACAAGTACATATGCACATGTGTATAACTTTTTTGCAGCTGTAATATTCTGAGTATATTTTCAATCCTGTCTTTCCAAATAGACAGTGATGGGGCCGGGAAAGTCATGTCTCACCAAAGTACAACATTCGAGGCTGTGATGGATCTAAAACACACATGGAGTGTTCTAGCTGTGGGCTATCTCATACTCTTCCAGTGATCCTCTAGAAGGCTGCATGAGCTTTTCAGAGGATGGATCATATTTTTTTAAAGATTTATTCATTTTTATACAAGAATTGGGGTATAGGCCAGAGATGCGGGGGGTGAGAGGATTCACAAGAGACAGAGCGTGGAACAGAACAGGCAGATGGACCGAAGTACACTGCTGAGGGGAGCAGCGGGTGAGACAGGAGAGGTCTGTCCCCCCATGTGGGTTTCTCCCTAGCCAGCCGGGAATCGAACTCGTGCTGCAGTGGCTGCAGATTGCTTCATAGTTTGCGTCTTAACCCCTGTGCCACTAGGAAGGACTGAGGATGGATCATTTTTTTAAACTTCTTCAAGGTTCTGTTTCAATGGCCTCATAGATAGATCAAGAATATGTAAAAATATTTACATATTTACATTACATAAAAATAAGTATTTCAGATCTACAGCAGGACCAACGGTATAGACACAGAATTGATACTTTGAAAGAACAAAACCCACCAGCACCAGTACAATATCAGGACCAACGGTATAGACACAGAATTGATACTTTGAAAGAACAAAACCCACCAGCACCAGTACAATATCTAAGATTAACTCATCTCCAGTTGGGAAACCTAATCTTTAACCCTGAATAAGGCTACCAATTTAATCCTAGTATGAAATAGAAGCCGTGAAACAAGAGAGAAAGAGTTTCTGCCTGAGAATTTCCAGGCTTGCTGCTAAAGAAAATCCTGTGCTAAAGAAAATCCTATGGACAACACTTGTTTTTCAAAACAGTTTCAAAGTTTATTTTAATGATTGGCTACATATAATTAAACACCAAGGATATTTTTATTACTTAAATGACAAGTCTTTTATTTGTTATTTGCTGGTAATTCACCCAGAAGCAATTCACTGTGGAGCTGCTGCTTGGCCAGTGTTCAATGCAGTGTTTATGTCACTATCACTCTCTAAGCTTTTGTTGCAAGTATAATTTTGGAAGAATCTGTTGTAAGTTTTTTTGAGAAAAGACATGCAAAAGGAAAGCAGCATGTGTAATTTTTAAAAACACTTGTATGTATAGCAGATTGATCATAGAAAACTTTTTTTTTTTTAGTAATGGATTTTATTTAGGTTTCCTGCAAAGTAGTGACAAAAGATACTGTAATTCAACAAATTAATTGGCAGGCTCTGACCACTAGGGAAAATGAATCTATTCCAGAATGTCCAGCAAGCATCAGGTGTTGGGCAGGACTATAAGACAGGTGCTCCCACATGGAGTCAGCGAGGACTCCGCATCCCAAGCTGGTCCCAAGCTGATGCTTCTCCTGCACCCTGGGCTTATCTCTGCCCTGGACTTGGCTCACTGAGCTGGACTTTCAGGTCTGCCTCACCCACAGATGCCATGTGAATTCTTTTTTTTTTTTTTTTAAGATTTATTTATTTATTTATACAAGCACTGGGTACAGTCAGAAGCACCAGAGGGTGAGAAAATTCACCAGAGCCAGAGCAGGGAGCAGAGCAGGCAGTAGGACCAAAGTACACTTCTGAGGGGAGCAGCGGGCGGCAGGAGAGGTCTGCGCGCCATGTGGGAACCTCCTCCGGTGGCCGGGGAGCAGCCGGGAATCGAACTGGTGCTGCAGAGGCTGCGGGCAGCTTCGCAACCCAGTGCTCAACTGCTGCGCCACCGGGGAGGCCCCAAGATAATTGATTTTTAATATCACTGCATGAGGCATTTTACACCTCTAAGAGACCACACCTTGGTTTCCTTGCCAAGCACCCCGTTTCATTAAACAATAAACATAACCATCAAAATTACTGGCTGCTGAATAGCACATCCTTAAGTCAATAAGAAGAAAATACTTCTGTTAAACTTAAATAATTTTTCAAAAATGTCAGGGGAAAGAATAAGACCTCTGAGCTACATGGGTCCAGCTAGAGTAACAGTAAAATAATCATAAGCTATTAGAAAACTCACATGCAGGTATGAACTTTATTTCAGACATTTTTGCTAGATTAGACATTTCTATTAGATTCGTCATGCTGGTGCATCTCAAAGCACTCTCTGGGCCTCAAGCCCTGTGCTGCTAAGTGTACAGTCAGCTTCTGGACTTCAGTCGGTCACTATCCGATTAGCATTAGCTACATGAGGTCACCAGATACCAAACATGACATTATCCCTTAAAGATAAACCACACCAGAGTGCCCAGAGTAAGTTTAGACCTTTAAAAATGCCCATGGTGTCATGAGATTATATTGCCAACGTGTCTGGTTGTCAACATATCCATGCCTGAATCAACAGGAAATTAGTCTCTGGAGCCTCTGTTTCCAAGGAAGTAAATCTCTAGGTTCTCGACATTTGGCTACACAATAAAACAAGCTAGGGAACTTTAAAAAATACAGATGCCTGGAATTTATCCCCTGAGATTCTCATTTAACCAGTCTGGGGCAATCAGCACGGTTTCAAATCCAAGTGACTGCAATATGCATCGTGGATAAGAACCATTGCTTTAGGGCCTCTATTCTCAACAAAAACTCAGAGGGGCACAAGTTAAGTTCACGCCTTCTTCCTCCATTGCTCTTCTATCTATGAGTGATGGGAACTTTGTGTCCTTTCTACTCCAGATTCTTTTAGCCACCATGATTTACTTCTACAAGACTGAAGTTTTTAATGGTATACGTGGGTTTTGAGCAATCTTCCCTAGTGCCAGTGGGAAAACCTTCCTTTGGTAGACCAGAGAAGCTGAGACAAAGAAAGTGTTCCTTCCGGGGCTACAGAAGACATGCAGACCAGAACAGCCCACCTTCACTTTCTTCGCATGCTCAACTCCTTTCTTCACAGTTACCCCATCATGTGTCACCCTTCTGCAGGCAAGAGCCACTGGGTTCTGTTGGTTCTAACTCCTTACTCTCTCTGCTGTCTATCTCCTCCTTGCCTCCACATTACCTTGCTTTACCTCAGTATTTCTCAAATAAAATCAGTTCAGTGTCCTTCAAACTGTTCTTTCTCTGCCATTTGGTTAACTTCCCTTCAAACGTTCTCCACACTGCAGGTTATCTTTTCAAAGGCAAATCTGATATTACTACTCCTCCACTTAACAATAATATTCCGTTTCTTTTAGCATCATATCCATGCTTCTCAAGCTCCATTAAGCCACTCGTAGTTCTCCCAAGCATGCCACCAGATCTCAGGCCTCTCTGGATCCACACCGACCCACACTACCTTGCCACAATGCATCTGAGAGATCACATCTTTGCCATCCAGTGGGAGCTACAGGCTCAGTCAGTGTTTGTGCCCACTGTATTCTGCATTTACTTCTAGAAATGACACCTACCAAAAGCACTCTGCTGTTCACTATAATTTCCAAGATGAAGGGCTTCCAAGCTATCCTTTTTTAAAAAAGATTTTATTTATTTTATTTTTGTAGCAAAGAACTGGGGTGTAGGCCAGAGGTGGGTGTGTGTGTGAGAGGATTTACCAGAGACACAGTGGGGAGCAGAACAGGCAGATCTACTGAAATACACTGCTGAGGGGAGCAGCGGGAAAGACAGGAGCAGTCTGCTGCACCATGTGGGTTGCTCCCCGGCCAAGGATCAAAATCAGGCCACGGTGGGCTGTCATGGTGATAGTACTGAGATTTAACCCCTAGACCGCCAGGGAGGCCCCCAAGATATCCTTAAGTAGGTAAAGGGGTAAGTAAACTGTTGGGCATACTGACAATGGAGTATTACTCACAACTAAAAGCACATGAACTATCACCTCTGAGGTCAAAAGGGAGAAGGGAGGGAAAGGGTCAAGAAGACAGGAGGAATGATGATGGGAGAAAAAGTTTGTATAGATATGTGTTTCAAAACAGATGTAAAATGGGCCTCCCTGGTGGCGCAAGGGGTTGTTAAGCATCGCACTATGAAGCAATCCACAGCCTCTGCAGCACGAGTTCAATCCCCGGCCGGCCAGGGAGAAACCCACATGGCGAGCCAGACCTCTCCTGTCTTGCCTACTGCTCCCCTCAGCAGTGTATTTCGGTCAGTCTGCCTGTTCTGCTCCCCACTCTGTGTCTGGTGAATCCTCTCACCCCCCGCACCTCTGGCCTGTACCCCAGCTCTTGTATGCATAAATAAAGCCTTAAAAATATAAATAAATAAAAATAAACAATGTTTGCTTTAAAAAAAAAAGATGTAAAATGTGACATCAAAAGTGTAAAATATGCACAGTGGACCCAAATGTAGAACTTTAGAATGCATTCCAACTTAAGTTGTCATCAACTTAAAACAGACTGCTACAAATACAAGTTGTCATATGCAAGCCTCGTGGTAAACATGAAGCAAAACCCTAGAAAAGAAAAAAAGAAAGATGTGAGCTATCCAGCTCTGAAGAGACATGGACGCACCTTAAGTGCATGTTACCAAATGACAGCAGCCTGTCTCAACAGGTGACATGCTGCATGCTTCCAACCGCAGGACAGTCTGGAAAAGACAAACCACACAGACAGGAAAGAGATGAGTGGTTATTGGGACCGGGAATGGGAAGGATTAAGAGCACAGAAGACTTTTAGGGCAGTGAACCCATTCTACATAACACCATAATGGCAGAGGCTGGTCCTTATCCATTTGTTAAAACCCAAGGAATGTACACCACTGAGAGCGAACTCCAATGCAAACTATGGACTTTGGACATGTCATTTATTATAATAAATGTGATACTAGAGGGGCGGGTATGGAGATAGTGGAGGAAGCTGTGCAGCCAGGAGAGCAGAGCATATAAGAACTCAGTGTACTTTCTGCTCAGTCCTGCTGTGATCCTAAAAACATAACCCTCCAAAATGAAATCAAACAAACAAATAAATTCTCCACTGCCTCATCATCACCATTAACTCACAGTGGACCCAAAGGTAACAGAGTAGGGTGACGGGGACCCATGAAAGCTGGCCTCCCTCTGGATGACTCTGCTCCCGCCACCCTGGATGGCCTCCTTGTCAGACCCAGGTCAGGCAAGCTGGGTGCTATTGCCCTTGTCATGTTTTCTGCAGGAACTGTCCCCTAGAGATCCGCCATGGTCCCCTCCCCTTTTTCTTCATGTCTTTATTCAAATTCACCTGCTAGGTGAGGCCGTTCCCATCATCCTACTGGACGAGTCTTGCTTTATATTTCACCAGAGAATTATCACCAACATGCTCTGTATTTCACTTATCTGCCTTCCTTTCACTAGAATGGAAGCTCTATGAGGGCAGAGATATCTGTGGTTTTGTTCACATTAATTCTGGGTGTGACAGGATCTTAATAACATTTGTCAAGGGAATAAATTAACAGCTCATTGACAGGTCTCTCTTGCTTCCAGACATTTGCTGTGCTGTTTTTCTGCCTGGAATGACATTCCTTTGTGTTCAGGAGGAGAAGTTCAACTTAGCCTCCAAAACTCAGCTCAAGACCTACCTCTTCAGGGAAAAAGAAAAATATCAGATGGTTTCACTTATAGCAGGAATATAGGGGGCCCAAATAAAACATCAGTGTAAAAACAATAATAACAGTACAAAACACAACAAAACTAAAACAGGGCCTCCCCGGTGGCGCAGCGGTTGAGCGCTGGGTTGCGAAGCTGCCCGCAGCCTCTAAATCGCCGGTTCGATCCCCGGCTGCTCCCCGGCCACCAGAGGAGGGTCCCACATGGCGCGCAGACCTCTCCTGCCGCCCGCTGCTCCCCTCAGCAGTGTACTTCAGTCCTTCTGCCTGCTCTGCTCCCCGCTCTGGCTCTGGTGAATTCTCTCACCCTTCTGCACTTCTGACTGTACCCAGTGCTTGTATAAATAAATAAATAAATAAATCTTAAGAAAGAAAAAAGAAAAAAAACTAAAACATTCAATGAATGATAAATCAGAGACATACCAGAGGCAGGAGGAGAGAGTGGTATCAGGGGGAGGGAGGGAGGAGCTCAGGGGACTGAGGTGATGGTGCATGGGTGCATTGGCGAAGGAAATTCTACCGGGACTATACCTGGGGGGGGGGGAGCAAATATTGTTTAAAAATGAACAATGATGTAAAAAATAAAATAAATAAATAATTTTTTAAAAAGATTAAAAAGGTGAATAGCATAAGCACTTTCTCTAAGATGTTGCTCTACAGAATGGCATTAGTGTAAAGTACCTCTCTTCCAAAAAATATTGGAAGAATTTCACTTGAATAAATATTGCATAACTCAAGAAAAAAAAGAACCACCTCTTCTGTGAAGTGCCCACTGACCCAAGGCAAACGGAAATAGGAATCTCTTCTTTGTTTTGCCACAGTGCCTTGTTTTGCTCCTGATGAGGCCCTTATCACAGTGTTTTATAATCTGTGTGGCTCCTTGAAGATTCCTCAGTCCCTTCCCCAGCACCATTGAACCTGGCACATAATATCAGACCCTCAGAAACATTTGCGGAATGAAACAAATGAATGACTCAGAGCAATCAGCGTGTAGCCAGGTGTGAATTACATAGGCACATGTGGCATATATAATTTAGAGAATGCCCTTGAAGAGTCTATTAAAGTTCCTTTGACATTAATACTTTTCATATTATAGCTTACTCAAGATCTATGAGTTAATGAATGATAGTAACCAAAGTCCAAAATAATTGTCTGATCATCAATGTAAAAGGCTGAGCTTGCATTCATATTTCTATATTAAAGTTTTTTTTTTTTTAATAGTTGGCTTTTCTCTTTTTTTTTCAGATTTATTTATTTATTTATACAAGCACTGGGTACAGTCAGAAGCACGGGAGGGCGAGAGAATTCACCAGAGCCAGAGTGGGGAGCAGAGCAGGCAGAAGGACCGAAGTACACTGCTGAGGGGAGCAGTGGGCGGCAGGAGAGGTCTGCGCGCTATGCAGGACCCTCCTCTGGTGGCCGGGGAGCAGCCAGGGATCGAACTGGCGCTGCAGAGGTTGTGGGCAGCTTCGCAACCCAGCGCTCAACCGCTGCACCACCGGGGAGGCCCTTAAAGATTTTTTTTTTTAACTCTACCTTTTGTTTGAGTTTCCGTATCAAACTGGTTTAACCTAGAGAATATCAGCACAGGAGCTTTTAAGCCTGAGAAGGTTTGGTAAACACGGCATTGATGCCAAAGACCATTGTGGAGAGGAGACTAGAAACAAGTACAGACACACAAATTTCATGTATATAGATGTGAGTATATGTGCATGGGCTGATCAAAAACTTTTTTGCCATAGTAGAATAGTAAACTAGTCAGAGTATCACCCTCTTATTCATAAGGGGTTCTAGAACTCTAAGAACCTAACTCTTAAAGGAAGAAACTGAGATCCAAAGTGTATCATGTGTATTATTTCATTTAAACCCCACCACAAGCTCATGGGGAAGACATTATTTTAGAAATGGGAAAGCAGATGTATTTTTTCATGGTCACGTGGCTAGTAAGTAGTGAAGGGGGAATGAGGCCCAAATCTTTCCACCCACATTTCTCTTTTTGTTTTAAGATTTATTTATTTATGCATACAAGAAGTGGGGTACAGGCCAGAGGTGCGGGGGGTGAAAGGATTCACCAGAGACAGAGTAGAGAACAGAACAGGCAGATGGACTGAAATCCACTGCTGAGGGGAGCAGCGGGCAAGACAGGAGAGGTCTGTTGCACCATGTTTGTAGCTCCCTGGCCGGGGATCAAACTCATGCTGCAGTGGCTGCGGATAGCTTCATAGTGCTGAGACTTAACCCCTTGTGCCACCAGGGAGGCCCCCTCCACCCATATTTCACTAAGGATTACTTTAATGTGATCCTAGTAAGGATCCTGCCATACACATGTTTTGATGATTGTGTCTTATAAGAGCATTGAGTGTATAAACTGAAATCTTATATTTAAAATAATGGTACAACTGAGGAAGAGAAAAAAGGAAAAGGGGGGAGGAGGAGAAAGGACAAAAAAGGCAGGGGAAAAGAAGAAAAGAAAGGTAAGAGAGAGATGAGGCCAAAGAATTGGAAGTTTGATTTCATGATCACAGGTTCGATCTCATTCCTAGTTCTTCAATCTGTTGCTTATATTACCTTGAGAAAGTGATGATGAGAATGATGATGATTGTATGATGACTGAATAATAATAATTGTTATCTCCACCATCAGCTGCAGGTGCCACAGGGCCAGGGCCATCTCTGACTTTGCTCACTGCATTAAATTCTTATCTGATATAATAAGAACAGTTGGTTCACAACAGCAACAACTATAAAAATGTGGAAGAAGAGACATTAAACCTTCTGTTTGAACTTAGCTGTACTCATTCATCAATCTTCCCATTGGTTTCTTTCTTTGATGAAAGAAACCAAAGAAAGAAACCATGTGCCATCCTTCTTGCATGTACAGCATCCACATTACATGATCCACAATGTCTACACTCGGTTATAGAGAGAACCTAACATTGTTTAAAAGGAAATTTGAGCACAGAATACCTTTAGATTTTTATGACTCTCCCCACCCAAATATTTCCACCAAATCAGATTTATTCACAACCCTCTTTATCAAGTCTTTCTAAAGCATTCAACTCAGTTTTCATAGAAAGAACTTTCATTTCACACTTGTTTCCTAAGATTATAAAATCAAAGTGTAATTAAATGTTGTCATTATAAAAATGCCTCTGATGTTAATGAACTTGAAACAGAAATGATGACTCTTGGTAAAGAGCGCAGGTATCCTAAGAGTAAGTCAGAAGCATCCAGCAGGCCAGATGATCTGAAGAATATGTTACAGCACCTGCTGGATTGTAACCCGAGTGTTTGACACAGTACAGGACACACAGGAGACAATCAATATTGTTGACTCAACCATACAAGGCTTGTGTGATACCTGAGTGAACAAAAGCCATGCAGTGCTTACACACACTGGCACTTGGTCAACAGTGATTTCCTTCCCTTTCTGACTCTTTGAGACATTTACCTTATTTGTACTCAGACTCATTGAAAAAGAACTTGAGAATGTTTCCTGCAGCAACTGCTGTTAATTTATTCATTTTTAAAAAGGGAGTTGAAAAAAAAAGAAAAATAAAAAAATAAAAAGGGGGTTGAGCCAGTCACTTTTCTGAGCACTAGGGACATGGTCCTGAACCCTAAGGAGCCCACAATCTTGCTCTTCACTCCAAACATGACTTAGTAATAAAACCCCAAAACAGGAGAGGAATTATATGAAAAGGAAATCAAGCATCTGGGTTGGCAATGCTTTCCTACAGTGAAGTTACATAAAAAATTTTAAAAGTTCATGTGGTCTAGATGTTTCTACAGAGCATGTTAAGAATGTGCCCATCTTGAAATAATACATTCCTCTCTACTCCATAAAAGGCACATATCAGAAAATATTTGCCAATGAAGTGAATTTTATAGCCATACCAAAGAGCAAAACCTCTCATCATTAGCTTGTACTTTTTCAAGTTAAAAAAAAATAGGATGGACCTTGATTTTTACTCTAATTCCTGTAATGTCACAGAGCGAAGGTTATTTTGCCTTATCATCTAGTGTAATAATATGCATTATACTACGTGGAACCTAAAGCTCTCCAAGATTTCACTTTGGTTTCTGAGATTTGACCCTGTTGTGGCATTGACTATGTGAACCTGAGGGATAAGAAAAGTTATGAGGTCTTCTCAGAAGAAGTGGCCCAGGGCAAATAATTACGAATATCCCATTATAGTCTGCTCTCTAATTCCTGAGGATGCCTCTAACGATGTGTGATTTGTAATGATAATATAATTGAGATATGGAGACTCTAGTAAGTTTGCCTACATGAGATCTTTTTGTAGGTAATATTTGAATAAATTTACTTACTGTTGGTTGAACTTCAGCAAATCTGCATCGATAATGTCAGCTAATGGCAGGTTCAATAAGCAAAAAGAAGCTTGCACTGTAACACTAGAAGTAATTTTAATACAAACAGATGAAGCTTTTATAACTAGGAGGCACAGATTTTGTTTACAACAAACATCAAATGAAAGCTGAAATTTGGTTTGTAAAAAAGGAAAATTAAATCATATACTCTAAAGGTAAAGATACATATTAGGCCCATATTTCTATCTCCCCAAAAGTTATATATTTATGACTATATGATTATTGTTTAAAATAAATGAACTTTCACTTGAGATTTTAAAAAATGACTTCTATGATTTTTCCCCATTTCCAAATGACTACTTGCTCATTTAATCTGCTTAAATTATGAATAGATTCTAGAGAATAAAACATGTCAGAGAAATTCATCATTTTTCTCTTGATGTCAAGAATAGGATGAAGAACTGTAAAAGGACATATAACATCTTAATTCGGAAAAGAGAATGAGAATGGGGAGGGCCACGTGGTTCAAGGAAAAAAAATGGGGGCCTCCCGGGTGGCACAGTGGGTTGAGCGCAGCGCTATGAAGCTGTCCACAGCCTCTGCAGCACGGGTTCGATTCCCAGCTGGCCAGGGAGATGCCCGCATGGCATGGCAGACCTCTCCTGTCTCGCCTGCTGCTCCCCTCAGCAGTGATTCGGTCCGTCTGCCTGTTCTGTTCCCCACTCTGTCTCTGGTGAATCCTCTCACCCTCCCGTGCCTCTGGCCTGTACCCCAGCTCTTGTATGAATAAATAAATAAATAAATAAATCTTGGAAAAAAAAAAAAAAAAGCAAACAGAGACATTTCATTCTTTTTTTTTTTTTAAAGATTTATTTATTGATTGATTGATTGATTGATTTATACATACAAGCACTGGGTACAGTCAGAAGCTTGGGAGGGTGAGAGAATTCACCAGAGCCAGAGCGGGGAGCAGAGCAGGCAGAAGGACCGAAGTACACTGCTGAGGGGAGCAGCGGGCGGCAGGAGAGGTCTGCGCGCCATGTGGGACCCTCCTCCGATGGCCGAGGAGCAGCCGGGGATCGAACCGGCGCTGCAGAGGCTGCGGGCAGCTTCACAACCCAGCGCCCAACCGCTGTGCCACGGGGGAGGCCCGACATTTCATTCTTAAAAAATGTCTTTTTAAATATGCTAAGGGCAGGGCCAGCATTACAGAAATAAGGAATAGTTATCTGTTTGGGTTCTAATGCTTCAGAGTTTCACAGAGATTCAATCATTTGGCTTGGTTTCCACACTCTCCGAAACAATTTATTCAAAATGCAGATAAATCTTCATGACAATTTCCTCAAGCTGTTTCATCGGGGATCTAGAGTAGGATGATTCATTCATTCACCCAAAACACATTTTCAAGGGACCAACTAACTGCAGGAAGTGTAGTAGGTAATAGGATCACAGTGATAAGAGACTATACAACAAGACCTTACACAATAAGATCATCCCAGAGGGATTTCTAGAAAGGGGGTGAGCATAGACCCCTGAAGTCATGAAGCAGGAGACCTAATTCAGAGGAGGAAATCAAGGAAGGCTTCCTGGAGAAGCACGTCCCTGAGCTGCGGCCTACAGAAACAGTGGGAACCAGACAGGAGATGGTGACGGACATTCTGAGCACAGGATGCTGCATGGGAGACAAGGAGGAGGGGGATGTATTGGGGGGTGGGGGTATTAAACCAAGGAAGTACAGAATGCTGCCGTATGGAGGGCACTGATGCTAAGTAGAGGAGTAACAAGAAGCGAGGCTGAAGGTAAACAGAATCCTACATAACCTAGGGCCTCAAAGGGCTTGGGTCATATCCTGAGAGCAAGAAGAAGGCACTTGAAATTGTTCAACAAAGCAATGGCCTCTTATTCTAGAAGCCACAAAGAAGAAGGGGTAGGAGGGAATGGGCACTAGCAGCTTGGGGACACATGGAGGAGGTTATCTGGTAGCTCATATAAAGGATGATGAGAAACCTGAGCTAAAGGAATGGCAATGGGAACCGAAAAGGGATGGATTTTGGACATACTAGGGAGATAGATTTACTAATAATCGGTAGCATGGGGCCTCCCTGGTGGCGCAAGGGGTTAAGCACCGCTCTATGAAGCAATCTACAGCCTCTGCAGCATGAGTTCGATCCCCAGCCGGCCAGGGAGCAACCAACATGGCACAGCAGACCTCTCCTGTCTCGTCCACTGCTCCCCTCAGCAGTGTACTTCGTCAGTCTGCCTGTTCTGTTCCCCACTCTGGCTCTGGTGAATTCTCTCACCCTCCTGCCCTTCTGACTGCACCCAGTGCTTATATAAATAAATAAACAAATCTTTAAAAAAAAAATCGAACCTATGAAGGAAACTATCAGTTAGAGACAAATAGGATTCCTTTAGGGAAATATGGGAGACCCAGCTCAAACCTAAAATAAATCCATATTTAAAACTCTTTCACTTAGCACACAGTTGGGAAGACAAATATTTATTGAATAAAAATCCCACTATTATTTTTACTGTCATTTGTCAGAAATGTACTTGTTATCCTAAAATCAAGAAACACAGATGAACAATATGATTTATATTTTCTGATTGTGTTTCCTGCATAATATTATATATTTTTATAATTCTAGAAGGTTCATATTTAGAGCTCAAACTTCTAATTTTTCAGCATTTCTTGTTATCAATGAAAAAAAGGTTATTGTTCTAGACTGAAAAGTTTGTGCTAAACATAATACATATGTTAACAAAGAATAGAAGATACTCTTTGTTTTCAATAGAAAAGTACATTGTTTAGCCCTGAAAAGTTTTCAGTAACCAGAGGCATATACATCACAATTAGAAGAGAGTTTTGAATGATGTACATTGCATACAAATGTGCTTTAATAAACATGGGATTTTTTCCCCCTTCCAGATTTTTGGCTTACTTCTCAACTTTCAAGGAACAAGAGCTCATTTTCTGGATACTACAAACAATGGCTCAGTGACTGATGTGATCCAAGGCATTTCTTAGAGTTCTGTGAGAGAAAGTATGTGAAGCACTCCAGCAAGTCCCATTATATTCTGGCATACAATAGTAATATGTAAAATCACACATTTCCACATACTGAAAAGAAGCTTCCTGTTGCCAATCTCTAATATATATAAGAAATTGATAATGTAAGAAATTGGTGGCAGAGTAGTAAGGGCCGGGTTTTGAGGTCAGATATTCGAATTCCATCTTTGCCACTTTTATCAGGTTATGTGTTCACAGGCAAGTTACTTTACCTAGAAGGCATTTCTCCCCACTAACACTCTGCCTCTCACTTACTACACCTTTAGCATATAAGGTACTCAACAATTGTTAGTTGTTATTATTAGTGTGTCCAGTATATTAAATAAGTCAATGATGACTACTATAACAAAAATCATGAGATTGTTCTTTCTTTTATTAAAACAAAGCCTCCTACAAGCTGAGGGTGTTGGCTCTCCACTTGTGTGTTTGTCAAGGAGCTTGTGAATATTGTTTCACAGCATAAATGTAGGCGAACCTATGCAAGATGCCTAAGCAGAAAGCAATAAAGGCTGTGCTGTGCTTGCAGTAAAATTCTAATAACATTTGCTGCACTGGGTCTTAGTAAAAAGAGCTGATATTTCTAGAGTGTTCATTTTGTGCCAGGAATTGTTTTATGTACATAGCATGTCTTAGTCCATTTAATCCTCATTCTAGTTCCATTAGGTACTTTTCTTTTTTCTTTTTCATTTTTATAGATGAAGACACTGAGGCACAGGGAGGTTGAGTAATTTATCCAGGGTCACACAGCTGGAAGCAGGGAGCCAGATCTCCCAGACAGACTCCAGAGGCATGCTGTATTATTCCATTTGTAAAAATCTAGAAAATGCAAACTAATCTATAGTGACAGAAATCAGGTAAACAATTACCCAGGGACGAGAAAGGGTAGGGAAGGGCTGGAGAGGATTACCAAGGGTCAAAAGGAAACTCTGAGGAATAAAGGATATGTAAATCTCTAGACTGCGGTGATGGTTTCATGGTACATTCATGTGTCAAGTATAATAGTCCAGCTTATATGTGCAGTTTATTGAGGATCAATCATACCTCGATAAAGCTGTTACCAAAAAAAAAATCCCACCTTTCAACTCTCACACAAAAAACAAGAACAGGAGACTGTTTAAAAGCTGCTGAGCATATGTATGGCCTCCCTGGCTCAGGGGTTGAAGTCTCAGGGCTGTCAAACTATTGCCAGCCACTGGGGCCTAGGTTTGATCCCCAGCCAGGGAGCCGACCCACGTGGTGCAGCAGACCTCTCCTGTCTCGCTCGCTGCTCCCCTCAGCAGTGTGTTTCAGTAGATCTGCCTGTTCTACTCCCCACTCTGTCTCTGGTGAACCCTCTCTCTCACACACACACACCTGTACCTCTGGCCTACACCCCAGTTCTTGTATGCACAAATAAATTTAAAAAATGAAATGAAATAAAAGCTGCTAAGCATAGATGCGATAGAAAACTACTGCTAGGAATAGCCTAAAATCCATCAATAAAGTTCAACTATGGAACATTAATATCACTTATCCCAATAGAGCTATTGTTAAAAAGTAGATTTATTCTCCTGCATGATGATCACAGTTAATAATATTGTATTATTATAGAAAGTTGCTAAAGGGCTGGATCTAAAAAGTTTTCATACAAGGAAAAAAATGGTAACTGTGATGATGAATGTTCACTAGACTTACAGTGGTGATGGTTTTGCAACATATACAGATATCAAGTCATTATTGTTTTATAGCTGAAACTAATACAATCATTATATGTCAGTTGTATCTCAATTTTTTAACGTCTATTTACATGTACCATGGAAATTTCTATAACCTGTTAAGTCTAAAAAGCGGGATACAGAAAATTCTTGGGTGGTATCATTTCATTTTAAAAATTATGTATATAGCTTTGTTTTAAAAACCTAAGTGAATGTAGACACAATAAGAAGTGAGTGGTAGTTTTTGTTCAAGTGATTTGGTGTGTGAGTTTTTTCAACAAACATATTTTTATAGTAAATACTAGGGGAAGAAAGTCTTTGTTATGGTTTGTTCAGAAGCTCAGCGGCCAGTCACTCCACTGAAATGTAACCATCTGATGTTCTTTACCCAGAACGTGGCAACCAGCTAAGGGGAGGCAAAAACATGTAAGAGCACCACCAAAATAGCAGCTCACCAAACCCACATGCTCAGGAAAACTCACATACTTAATTCATAAGAACCCCTTATGTCTTTACTAAACATCTAAATGCTTAGGAATGAACTTAAGAAAAGAGCAAAACATATCTTATGAAAATTACAAAACTGTTGAAAAAATCTGAAAGATCTAAGTAGATGCAAAACATTTCAGGTTCATGGCTCTCTCCATGAACTTAACGTTGCAAAGATGGCAATACTACCCAAATTCAGTACAATCCCTATCAGCATCCCAGCTGTCTCTATGGAAATTGACAAACTGATTCTAAAATTCACGTAGAAATACAAAGGACTCAGAATAGCCAAAAACAATCGTGAAAAAGAAGAATAAAGGAGTAGAGCTCACATTTCCCAAAGTCATCCAAAAAAAAGTAAAAAGATAACCCACGGAATGGGAGACAAAAACCTAAAATAATATATTTGATAACAGATTGTATCAAAAATACACGAAGAACTATTGCAACTCAACAATAAAAAGACAATAGCCCAACTGAAAACTGGCCAAACAAGCTAAGCAGGTATTTTCCTTACACAGTGGCCAAAAGCAGATGAAAAGATGCTCAAAAACCAGTGAGATGCTATTCATGCAAACTCTGGTGGCTAAATCAGAAGGATTTGGAGAAACGGGGACTTTTGTCTATTATGGTTGGTAAGGTAAAGTGGTTCAGCCCTTTCAGAAACAGTTTGTCAGTTTCTCAAGTTGAGGGCCTCCTTGGTGGCGCAAGGGGTTAAGCACCACACTATGAAGCTACCCTCAGACTCTGTAGCATGAGTTCGATCCCTGGCTGGCCAGGGAGCAAACCACATGGTGAAGCAGACCTCTGCTTTCTCGCCCCCTGCTCCCCTCAGCAATGTATTTCAGTCAATCTGCCTTTTCTGTTGCCCACTCTGTCTCTGGTGAGTCCTCTCAGACCCTGCACCTCTGGCCTGTACCCCAGTTCTTGTATGCATAAATAAATAAATCTTTAAAAAAATGTGATAAGTTGAGTTACCAACTTAAAAAGTGGCCATCTACACCAACACTTGTATGCTAATGTGCATGGCAGCATTACTTGTTTTTTTAAAAAAAGATTTATTTATTCATACCAAGGGCTCTTATTGACCACAAAGGAGGAAAGTACGGGTACCCATTACAACATGGATGAACCCTGGAAACATTATTCTAAATGAAAGATCAGCCACAAGAGACCGCCTATGACCCGATTCCTTTCAAATGAAGTCCAGAGTAAAGAGCCCAAGTAGTAGCAGCTGCTTAGGGCTGCAGGAGGGGAAATCAGGAAATAGGGGGATGCTAGGTAACAGGTACAGGATTTTTTGAGGGATGAAAATATTGTAACATTGATGGTGGTGATAGCCACGCAGATCTGTGAATATGCTAAAAATTATCAAGCTGCACACTTTAAATGCATGAATCATATGGCATGTGGATTATATCTCAATGAAGCTGTGTTAAAAGATCTACCTATTCTTCAAAAAAAAAATTACACAAGCTTTTAAACAAAATTTTTTTTTAACCTGGAAGAGGAGACACTCTAGGTCTGTACTTAAAGTGGGAAGTGTAGATAGCCTAGAATCTGATTATAACAAGTAAAGACAGGTGCTCAAGGAGCTTCCCTTTCTCTGTCACTGAACAGGAGAAAACAGCTTGAGAAGCTCAAATGACCCTGAAGGGAGCACATCGATTTATTATGTATGTACAGACCTGGGACAATATTGATCTGCCAAAAATGAAATTCCCTTCTATCTTCTGCTAAATAGCTGTATAAACACAGCACATGTCAGAGACAACATCTTAAAATGTGTGGCTTTGAAGGCAGGAGGCTATGAGCCTACTTTCTCTCATCTGCAAGGAGTCTTCCCGCGAAGGTGGTGAGGGTTCTGTGAAGGAGTAACGTGTACCATGCCCTTGGCACAGTTCTGGGACGTGGAAGCACTTGTGAAGTTCTGCGAGCTATCTTTATTACAGATGGCAGCCAACCAGGAGAAAGGCCTCCAGCTAATGGTAAATTCCATTCTGTACCCTTTGCTTAAGAAAGAAGTGTGGCCACACTTAAAACATTGTAGAACTCTCTCTATCTCACATGGTTAAACATTTTTGAAAGTTAGTAAACAGTAAAAGCTACTTTATCTAGCATGACTTCTTTGAAGAGTATAGAGAACAGGTTTTTCTTATCACTTAATTATGAAAATAGAAAAACCCCATCACAGGCTGGGTGAAATTGTAGCTTCTGGAGGACATTAAGGGAAGCAATTTGGTGCATCAACTCCCCCAATGGTTTAGCATATTTTTCAAAGGAGGAAATGTCCTCTATGATAATCGTCACGACCATGGAATTTTAACAACACTCTAGAATTCCAAGAGTAGAAGCATTTCTTTTAGCCAAGTGCTTTGAAACCTGGTTTCAAGAAATTTTGATCAAGTAACTCTTCTTCCTTACTACAGTCACAGGAATCTTAAAAACCTGGATAATGCACACACGCCCCCCCACCACACACACACACACACACACACACACACACACACACATCACACATACAGGAAGTCATTCGTTTTCCTGGAGCTCTCTGCTGAGGTTTAAATGAGAAAGCTCCAGGGAAGAAAATTCACACCACTAGGCTCTCCCTGTGTTCTCCTACCTGCTTTTCTTTCATCTCGTTTCCATTACGAATCTGACGGATCTTGTGTAATGTCAGGGACTCTGAATCCTTGAGTCTCTTAAATGCGCGTCATTTTTTTCAAACTACTGATAAAAGCAGGTTTTGGAATTTCCTCAGCCAGCAGAGAGTTAAATCTTTAATCCCTGTGGGAAGTAACGTGAAGATTCATTACATACCTGCGGGCAAATAAAGCCTGCCCCATATATGATGCTCCTTATGGAAGAAGTAAGAACATCCCTAGGGATGAGATTTTCTGCAAAGATCATCATGAAGTTATGAAGAAGGTCAAATGGAAGATTTGAAAGAAACTCATGATCAGAAAAAGATGAAAGTTTTTCTGGATGAGAATTTGTCTCATCAACGAGATGACAGAGGTCCAAACACTGTTCACTCCCTGAGAGAAGGTTCTCGAGGCTTCTTTGAGGTTCAAAGTTTCTAAGGTGATATGTGCCAGTGAAAAGGCTGGCGGGCAGAAAGAACGGCAATGACAACAGCAATGATCTGAAAACGGGGCAAATTTTCTAAGTTATCAGAGATGAGGCCCCAAAAAAGGATGCTGGGAAAGCCCACCAGTGATACCACTTGGTTAATTTTAGTAAAGTGCAGCCAACTTTCTTGGCTGGTGAAAATCTCCGCTAACAGAACACACTGCTGAACAAAGGTAAGTGTGTACTGTCAAAAGCACACAAGGATACCACCAGGTGAAGTCCACTAAGCAGTCCCCTTCAAGGTAGTATTTCCAAGGGAACCAAGGAAGCAGGAAGGCTATCACATAGAAAGGGGCGCCATACAAAACAAAATTGTAACGATTTGCACAACAGTCAGCCTTAGAGTTGTGAAAATACCAAGTCAGGACATTCAGAGCATTCCAGATCATTAAAATAATCTAGAGAGGGCCTCCCTGGTGGCGCAGCGGTTGAGCACTGGGCTGCGAAGCTGCCCGCAGCCTCAGCAGCGCCAGTTCGATCCCCGGCTGCTCCCGGGCCACAGGAGGAGGGTCCCACAAGGCGCGCAGACCTCTCCTGCTGCCCGCTGCTCCCCTCAGCAGTGTCCTTCGGTCCTTCTGCCTGCTCTGCTCCCCGCTCTGGCTCTGGTGAATTCTCTCACCCTCCCGTGCTTCTGACTGTACCCAGTGCTTGTATAAAATAAATAAATAAATAAATCTAAAAAAAAAATAAAGTTTTGCTAGAAACTCAGTATAACATTGGAGCAACTTAAGGTGAGGCATATGTCTTTAAAAAATAATAATAATCTAGAGAGAGAAGAAACACACAATTATTTTAGTGTATTTTATATCAATAAAAACAACCCCTGAATTCTCTATGCAAAGCAACCAGAGCTAATTGGTAAAACAAGCTCACCGCTTTCAGCACCAATAGGGGGTATACATGCTGAAACAACAACAACAATAATAACAGCAGCAGCTAATAATACGCAAAAAGTCAATGAACATTCCCTTTGTGTTTCGGCATTGCATGAGTGCTTACGTGAATTCTTTTATTCAGTCCTATCAAGCAAGATTATTATTAGCCCCACTCAACAAATGAGGGAATGGAGGGCCAGAGAAGTTAAGCAACTTGCTTAGCTAATAAATGACCCAAGCCAGGGTCTGAGTCAAGGCAGATGACCCCAGAGTCTATGTGTTCAATCATAATGCTAAACTCCCCCCCACCCCCAAGCACCCCAGGCCAGGCCTCAGCAACAAGCGATGATGGCCTGCTTATATACAGGAGTGCTTCATCAGGCAGAGTTGGAAGGTCGGTGGGATGAAGGAAAGATCACTCAAGGTCCAAGTGAGAGCAGCCTAGAGGGGCTTACACCTAAAAAGTGCAGCCCCATCCAAAGGCAGGCTCACACTTATTAGAGAAAGATACAAAGGTGTGGCAAGTACATAGGGAGTATACTCTATGTACCCCACCAGTTATTGGGGTACATAAAAGCAGTTATTGGGGAAAAGCAGTTATTGGGGATGTAAGCTAGGGTGGAGAGTGACCAGGGGCACCCACTGCCTGGGTGGGAGGGCAATGCTTCATTGTTCCTCCTGGTCAATTGTAATATCTGCCTGCTGTTTTCAGCAGATGCTGGTTTCCCAGTATGTTCCTCGTACCAGGCCTTTTGCGCTTAGTGAGAGGCCTCCTGCATGACCCTACACCTGGCTGACTAGCAGGAACTCTGGGTACCAAAACAATATCCCCGAGAATAAGGGGACCGGGAAACTATCATTTGCTGTCTCAAAATGGCAAAAGTATTTATTACATTAAGCATGTTGTTGTCGGTAACCAATGATAATATCAAATATAAGGGACTCTAAGATCAAGAACTCTATCCATCCTGTCCATCTAATCAGAACAAACAATACAACATGCAAATAACATGGACCTTATCAAGATATATAATATCTTAATAATTCTAATTGTTCCACATCAGCATATTTTTCAGACAACCAAAACTTACTCTTAAAATTGCAAAGTTGTGGCAAATCTTTTTTTAAAAAGTCTCATTTCCCCTAAACAGTTGATCTTAGCATAGACAGCCTTTTCTTGATAACTCTTTCAGCTATGTGGAGAATTAGTTCTTTGAAAAATCACAATAATGGATATCTCTGTGGAGAGAAACTGTCCTAGCGAAAGGACTATAATAAGGGCTCCATCTCACCTGAGCTTGGTAAAAGGCCACTTCTGAAATCTTGTACAGATGTAAAAGGAGCTTCACATAGTAGAAACTGAAGACAGAATTTAGCATTTCAGTCCCTAATGTCATCATAGAATATGCCCAGGCAATGGGTTTGATACTTACAAGTGTCATTTTCTGAAACCTGAGGGATTCTTCTTCCTTTTGTTTTTTTAAAAACAGGGAAAATGGTTACAATTTACTCTTTGCCTACAGTGGCTGATAGGTAGCAAAATTCCACTGGACTCTAGTCAATTTTCATTATATAAGAGCTCAAAATCACTAGCTGTGAATATGTAACCAGATTTAACACTCTACTTCTTATCCATTCACTCAGCATTTTAGAGATGGGAACCCTAATTTGCATGGAGTGAGACTCTTGAATATATTCTGGTACTTTAACTTTTAAAAGTGTAATTTATCCAACAGTTTGGACAGTCCTGAACTAGTAGCCAGGGAGATGTGTTTACAGCATCATTATCCTCCCTATTTGGGGGTGACAGCCTTTAGCTAAAGTCAGAGAGAAGGAAAAGAAGCAAGCCCTTCACCTGAGTACAGAGCTGTCCATTCAGTAGTCAGAACTTGCATTGGAAGACTTATTCTTGATCTTCTCCTGACAATGTAATTTGGCCCAAAAGACTTTGTACATAATAGGGACATAAAATCAAACATTCTGGTTCTTGCTCTGACTTAGATGTTGCCCTTTAATCTGGCCTATTGTCTTACTCTTTCAGTGATCTCATTTACCCAACTGGACAACAGGAAAAGGCCAACCAAACAAAAGGTAGGTATAGACTCACCTGTCTTTCAATCTTGATTATTGTTTGACACCATGACCTTCCTGTCTTATCCCTGGCATACTGGAATACTTGGCTAGGTCTCCACAATTTTATAGAATCACAAAACAAACATTCAGATAACTGAAGATATGTTACTTGTTTAAATAATCCCTGATGCTTAACCAGGTGCCACCGCTGATATCCAGTTTTTCAGGGAAGGGGACTCAAATGATCAAATGCTCATCTCCCAAGCTTCACCTCCTTTCTTGGAGTATATCCAAGAGTCTAATTCTATGGGAGGTGGGGTTTTGGAATGATCAAGGGGGTAAATCAATGCTCACGTCATCAACCAAGCATTGTCTATAGACTGAATATTTAGTTCATATGTGTACTAGTGTTCTTTAAATGTTTATAGATTTTGTGGTCATGAAAAAATACAAATCTAATATTTTTTGTCATTATAGAGAACTCCAACTCTTGAAACCTATAAGAAGTATGTGGAGATGAGCTGACATTTGGGACTTTAAAGGAAAGTGTCCGATTTGAAAAAGTTGGGAACTTCTGAAGAACTCCTGCCAAGGTATAACTCTTGGTATAAGAATGAAGATTGCATTTAGAGGCCACTAGGTTACCTAAGAGGACCCGACACAAGGGAATCAGTAGGACCCAAAGCCAACAAAGAAACTGAACTAACCAAAAAGAGGCACTTCTTTTTCACTAAGTTTTATTTCAGGCAAGTTAAAATTAGAAGCATGCCTTGCCTTCTGAACAGATCTGTCATTAAGTTAGAAGGCAGTATTTATAAACTCAAACTTTTGCAAAGGGTCATAAACTCACTGCATTGAGTTCAACTGTCTTAAAAGAACTGGACTTAAACACCCAACCTGTTTGAAACATGTGTATCTAAGATTTTGATTCCATTAGGAAAACAAGCTGCACATCTTATGTGTGTATAGGTATATTCAGTAGGAAGCATTCTTTATCTTGTATCTATCTACAAAAGCAACTATCAATACGTTCTTTTTAGATTATTTTCATAACAGTTCTTATTTAAGTAAGTATTGATATCACACTAAAAATCACCACTTACAATGTTTTAAAGCGACCACCACGATTTAAAAAACTCTCCTTGAGCTGTGTGGAGATTTCTTGACCTACTAAACATAGAGCTTCCATATGATCCAGCAATTCCACTCCTAGGTATTTACCCAAAGGACACAGAAACATCAATTCCTAAGAGCACCTGCATCCCTATGTTTATAGCAGCACTGTTTACAATAGCTAAGCTTTGGAAACAACCCAAATGCCCAAAAATAGATGACTGGATCAAGAAGATGTGGTACATATACACCATGGAATATTACTCAGCATTCAAAAAAAGATAAACACATGCAATTTGCAGCAACATGGATGGAGCTGGAAGGGATCATGCTCAGCGAAATAAGCCAGAAAGAAAAAGAAAAATACCGGATGGTCTCACTCATAGCAGGAATCTAGAAAACTTAAATAAGAGACCAGGAAAAAGAATAACTATAAGAAAGTAAAAAATCAAAATCAACAAACAACTATGAACCAGAGAAACTCTATGGGGGGTGGGGGGCAGAAAAAGGAGGGATTGGGGTCAAAATAAGGGGGTTGCAATTGTATGGGGAATATAAAAATAAAATTTAAATTTAAAAAAAACCAAAAAGCTCTCCTCACCTGATTAAACCAAGCAACAAACGAACAACATTACAGCTTTACAACCAGGGACAAAGGACTTCTAAAACTAATTCCCTTTTACCATAAGATGTTTTATACGGAAAAGTTTAAAATTAGCAAAATTGTACAATCATTACGCCAGGCAGGTACAAAAATTCTGGTGAATTATTAAATGAAAACCCAAAACCCTTCTTTTAAAACCAACTCGGGTTGTTATTCACTAATCTACAACTAAACCAAATAATATTAATGTCGCTGAAAAGGCTGCTTATGATTGTTTCTAAGCTGTGATTAAATAGATTCTGAAAGAACCATGGAGACCCCTCCACAGAAAGGCTTTTAGCACTGACAGCTAACACCTCATTTTTTTTTTAAAGATTTATTTTTATTTATTTATACAAGCACTGGGTACAGTCAGAAGCACGGGAGGGTGAGAGAATTCACCAGAGCCAGAGTGGGGAGCAGAGCAGGCAGACTGACGAAGTATACTGCTGAGGGGAGCAGCGGGCGGCAGGAGAGGTCTGCACGCCATGTGGGACCCTCCTCCAGTGGCCGGGGAGCAGCCCGGAATCAAACCATCGCTGCAGAGGCTGCGGGCAGCTTCGCAACCCAGTGCTCAACCGCTGCGCCACCGGGGAGGCCCCTAACACCTCATTTTTAATGCAATTTTTGTTCTAGTTTTTCTAGGAAAAAAAGTTTCCCCAAATAGGGTCCTTAAAAAAAAGGGGGGGGCCTCCCTGGTGGCACAAGGAGTTAAGCACCGCACTATGAAGCAATCCTCTGCAGCATGAGTTAGGTCCCCTGCCCACCAGAGAGAAACCCACATGGCGAAGCAGACCTCTCCTGTCTCAGCAACGTATTTCAATCAGTCTGCCTATTCTGTTCCCCACTGTCTCTAGTGAATCCTCTCACCCACCCGCATCTCTGGCCTGTACCCCAGCTCTTATATGCATAAATAAATAAATCTTTAGAAAAAAATTAAAAAAAATAACAAAACCCAATAACCCTGAAATTATAGTTTAAAATGGTATAAAGCCATTTTGAATTATTGATCACTTTAATTCTCCATATCTGTCTATTAAAGAATGTTTCAACACACAGTGGAAACTATTTGGAGTCAAATGAGCTTCTGTTTGCCATGGAGGGAAAAAAAGCCAGCATTTTCAGTCTTGTGGATCACTAACTATGAAGATGAGTGTTTTGAAGGTCAGATGCATGATTCTAACCCTTCAGCATCCACTAATCACTGTCAGCAAATCCCAAATTCAACCATCCCTCTTTCCAAAGGACTGTCTGTAGTGACTTGCTTTTAAATTAAGATTAATTTGACTCCGGACTAATACTTCTACTTGAATATCGACAACTAGGGCAATAGAGGGGAGCTAACTTTCTTTTTTCATCTTAGCAATAAAAAGTAGGTCAGTAACATCTTTCTTTTTACTACACCTGGATTTAGAAGTAAGGAATTTGTGGGTTTACTATGACTCTTTTATTATGATTTTTCCTTCCAACACCATTATTCCTCCTACATGTATTGGTCGACTTTTTTCAAGGTTGTCTTCTTTCAGCCGTGCCTTAACCTGTACATCCAGGTGGAGGCCTTTGACCTTCAGACCAAAATTTCTGTTTTGTCTGCAAGGTGACGGCAAAAGGCGCAAACCACCAGCAGTTTTTACTTTGTTGTGGGTCAGAACAGCCTCCCCGGTCCTGCCCACCCTCGGGAGCCAGCTAGGGCTGCCCTCTCTTCTCGCCTGGTGCAAAGTCATGGCCCCAGATGCTTAGTTTGTGGCCCTTTTAAAAATCATATGCAAAACTGCTTGCAATTTTATTTTCCCTCCCTAAGAAGAGGGCTTCCATTTCACCCCCCGCGCCCCCAGGTGATGCGGGGCTGCGGCTCATCGTTCATGGGGAACGAGCACAATTTCCTGCGGGTTGCAGGGGAGGGATCTGCTGGTAAGGAGAAAACAGCAGCCCTAAACTCCTGACCGTCCCCTTCACTTCCTCACATCAAAGAGACCAAATCCCGGAGTCAAAAGACCAGAATGGGCGGCCCCGGCGCGCCCCCGACACCCCGGGACAGCCCCCCCTCGGGGCCGGAGTCCGCGCCTCACGCCCACTCGGCCTGGCCGCGGGCGGCCGGGCGCCCGGGCCATGCCCCCGAGGCTCGCAGGAGGCCGTCGCCCCATCACCCCATGACCTCCGTCACCTCCACAGCCCGGACCCCGCGAGCTCTCCCGGGAGCAACAAACACAACGCTGCGCAGAGAAGGCGGGGCCTTCGGCCGCACCCCTCCGCCTTTCCCCGCCTTCTTTGTTTCTCCCAGAGTCCCCACTGGCTGCCGGCGCAGGAGACCGGGCGAACGGCGGGCCGGCGGGGAGGCGCGATTGGACGGCGCGTCTGCCGCTCGGCCGGGCGCGCGCTCGCGATTGGCGGAGGCGCCGCCGGGGTTTGAATCGCGCCCGGCCGGGGAGGGTCCTGCCAAAGTGCCACGTTGGGCCGGGCTGCGGCTGAGGGAGCCCGTTCGCGGCGCCGGCCCGGGCGCTTGCGCTGGGCGCCGGCCGTTGGGACCGTTGCGCGGCGCGAGGCGAGCCGGGAGGCGGGCCGTGGGGGCCGGCCCGGGCGGCGGCAGGCGGCGGTGGTCCCGCGGCGGCGGCGCCGGTCCCCCCCGCGGGCGGCTCTGGCGGAGCGCGGCGGGGCCGGGGGCGAGCCGGGGGCGGCGGCCGGGGCGGGCGGGCGGGCGCGGGGGCCGCTGCCCCGGGGGCGCCGGCCGCGATGCTGGCGGAGGGCGCGGCGGAGGAGTTCGAGGGGAAGGACGAGGAGCCGTGGTACGACCCCCGGGACCTCCAGCGAGGTGAGGCGCGGCCGGCCGGCGGGGCGGGCGGGCGGAGGCCTGGCTCGGCGCGGCGGCCCGGGCAGGGCTGCCCCTCGGCGGCCGCGGGCAGGTGCGGCGCGGCCGGGCTCACCTGCGGGGTGCGGACCGCGCCGCGCCCCCGGGACGGACGGGCGAGCGCCCCACCGCCCTCCTCGGGGCCGCAGGGGCGGGGCGCCGCCTCGCCCGGCGGGTGTCGGCCGCCCGCGGCCTCCGGGGCTGCCGCGGCTGTGGGGGCCGCGGGGACCGGCGCTCGCGCCCGCAGGAGGACGGCGGGGGCGCCGGGGCCGGCGGCTCCCCTCGAGCTGCGGGTGGGAGCCGGCTCGGAGGAGCCCCGGTCAGCGCCCGCGCCGGCTCCTCTTCACCGCCCGGCCCCAGCTCCCCGCGGGGCCCGGGGAGCCGAAAGCAAAGTTGCACGGATCGCCGGGGGAGACGACTTAGGGGGCGGGCACCCCCCGCTCCCCTCTTACCTGGGCGCCTTAGTGAGACGCGGGCCGGTCTCTGGGCCGGCCTGGGATGGCTCGCGGGCCATGCCGCCAGAGAAAACCCGTGGCAGCCCTCAGTTTGGCGCTGGGAAAGCCCGCGCCTCCTTTTCTTTTCTTTTCTTTTTTTGGTTAATTGCAGGAATTTGCCATTGGGACACACTGCGGATGTGCCGGGTGCTAACAGGCACTTCACGCAGGGGCTGAGCCTCCGAACAGCCCCGAGGAGGTGCAAGTTGATGCTGGGGGAGTCAGATGCCTCTCCAAACTGCAGCGCCAACTTTCATGACCAGAGTGCTTACTGATACTGAATTGGCCTCGGATTTTTCTCAGGCATCTTCCACTTTTTGCGGGTCTGTGTAGATCCACTTTTCAGCTCCAAACTTGTACTGAAAATTAACATCTTATTTAGTTGACTATTACATGATCCTGCGTTTGTTCAGTCAAAGCACTCTCCCTCTGCTTCCTAACCCCCCAAATGATGGGAGAAAAAGAAGGCAGTCTTGAATGACTCACTTTTAGAATAGGAAAGTAAAACAAGTGGCTTGTGGGGAGGGGGTGATTTCTTCCATTAATATGCTGTGGACAATTACATCAAGTGAAGTCGCTCCACTTACATGGATAGTCCAAGCGACATAGGCGTTGCAGTGCAGTGTTTGCCATCATGTTCGCTACATCCACATGGCAGATTTGTCTTACATTTTTAACAAACCTGTTTTCAGAATTTCCCAAAAGGATTGATGGCCTAGTTTGATACTTTCTTCAGGATTAATGAGGCAGTTGCATCATTTCCCTATAAGTTAAGCTGTTTGTGTCATCAAAGTGAAATAATTTTTTTTTCCTGTATTGAAGCAGCTTTTTTTTTAAATCTAGTATAATACTTAGCACATAACAGAAGCTCAAAATTATTTGTTCAACTGAGGCACTCACACAGGATTACAGTTTTCATGGCCTTCATCCACACTGCACTTTCCTCCTGTGGGAGGTTGTTAGGAACAACCACTTGTGATAGAGCAATTTGTCATGAAGCACATGCAACTTTTTGGGGCTGCATGTGGGCTTCTTAATCTCTAATTGAAACTAAGCCATGAGGTGAAAGTTCAAGTTCACTGAAAACTTAAAGAACATAGGTCTAAAACTCCTTAATGCCAATCTGCATTTGGAATTTGTTCTGTTTTTCAAAGCACCTGTTGTCACATTGGACTTTGACATAATCCTGTATGTCATAACCACACGTGCAGGGTAGGACTAGATGTGAAATTCCAACAGTCATAATTTGTGAATATGGCCTGTAAAAGACTGAAGACGGGAGTGTGGCAAAAGAATGTCTGTTCCAATTTTGTTAAATTTTATGTTAAAGAACTCCTAAACTTCTATCAGATTGTAAAATTTGTTACTTTTTCAAATTCATTGCTACTCTGTGCCAGGTATTCCTCTAGAGTGCTGGGGCCACAGTGCTGGTCCACAAAATGGGCGGCTTTACTAGCCTGGAGGTGCTGCCTCTGGCACCCACTACGCTGCCCTACAGGTACCAGGCCTATGATAGATGTTTGCTGCTCAATAAAGTTTGGGAGCAGATCTGTCCTCTTAAACAGATTAACAAGCAGATCATGTGGGATTCTGTTGTGAACAGACATCTGTTCATTTTTTAACATCCTTACTATTAACTTTATTAAGTGATCCTTGTTTGCAGAGAGCTGCTAAAAACAATTTGAAGGTCCTTTTCTCAGTCCTAGAACTACAGACTGTTTTGTTTGTTGTTGTTGTTGTGTTTTTTTTCTTTAACAAGAGGAACCACTAAGTAGATTGGATTTTTGTATTCAAGTTTGCTGGTACATTCTCTTAAAAATTAAAATTGCTGGAAAAGTCTAACCTTGGAAAGCTCTGCTCTGCCATTCATACCCTGTGAGAAACACATAGAGCCAGGTGTAGGCAGAAGGAGAAAATTGTACTTTTACCAAATGCTTTGATGAAGAGGCTACCTTTTGTCAGAGGGCTGAGTTGCCATCGTAAGAATGCTGACAATGATCTCTGTGGGTACAAGCCTTTCTGGGACAGCAGGTGCCTTCTGTGCAGGTAATGATGGCGCTTGCTTTGAAATGTGCCCCTGAGAACAAGGTAGAGAGACTTCGCTTTCTTTTAGATCAACTACTGTTATAATTGTGGTTTGGTAGCCATGCAAGCTTAGAAGAAGAGAATTCAAGCTTGAGAATTCAGGTTTCTGCTATGTGGACCAGCAAATCTTAGTTTGCTGGAAATCTTAAGTTTGAAGGAATCCTTTCCTCTTCAAGTACATTTTTCTTGTGTGTAGCTAATTTGCTGACTCACTGTTTGGAGGATCATTAAAACTGACACCATCATGTTTCTTAATGTTTATATTAAGGTTTTTTGCTTTCCCAATTATAGTAACGTTGGCAACAGGAGTTACACAGAAGCAACACCAAGTGACGCATTTGACTTTGTAATAGGAAAAACTTTCAGCCTTAATGTTATTGAATTACTGCTATAGACTACAGATTACTTAGGAATATATTGTCCTTGTTTGGGGAAAACTTTTTGAATTCTAGAAGAAAGATTGTTATAAAAAAAAATGGCTGGTAGAGCTGATTTTCTGCCTGACACAGGGCTAAATCGTATCTGTTTAAAGCTAATAGTTTACACTTATCACTTGCAAGGACTGATCAGTGAAAGAATATTAAACATACGAAGGTATTGATAGATTGCAGCTCTCAAACCTGCAGTAAATCTGGCATTTTTAGTGGCTACCTAGGCCAGTACAATAGGATTTAGAAAAGATAACTTCTTAGTGAAAATCCTTTTCGTAAAAGAGGGGTGAACAGGTGTATTAAGGCTTCAAAACTGTTTCCTTTTCTTGTGCCTTAATTAAAAATAAAAATAAAGGACTTTGAATATTCCAGTCTCCCACTAATTATTTAAAAAAACCTTTTTTGGGCTTACTGCCAGCTTTTGGCTCCTTTTGGTTATGGAAGCCAGATGCTACACAACAGGAAGTGAACTTTTTTAAAGCAAAAAAAACCCAACCCTTGTCTTTAAACTAACAGATGAAGTAACGTCCTATTATACAGTGTGTGTGACTTCACTGGCGCTTTCTTGTAGTTGAGACTTGTCTTGTCAGAATTCTATCCTAAACATCCTATGAAATATTTAGGAGGCTGACTTCAGGTTACTGAACCAGGTTGTGGCTTTGTTTTACTGGAAATAAGGATTGCGATAAGGACACATCTCAAGTTCTTTTCTATTTGTTGAAGAGTGCTATACTTGGCATCTCTTTCTGCAGAAGCAGGGGTGCTACTGGCTATATATTAAGTAATGTTAAGTCGTTTTCTTAACTGAATAAAAAGAGCCAATGACAGTCTTAAGTTAGTCTTGATCCTGGAAGAGGTTTCAGCTCAGGTTTTGATTGCTAGTTAAAAATATCTTTGGGGTGTCTCTGGTCCTTCCCAGAGAGGAATTACCACTTTACAACTTGCCAGCTAAGACTAATGTCGAGGTAATGTTTATATCCTTTGTCTCTAATACAGTGTGGGGCTCTTGTGTGGGACTATATATACACATTACACACCGAGTACATGATAATGATTTCTGGAATATCGTCAGCCACACATAGTTCCTTTCCATTTAGTGAAAGCAGACATGAACTTGCCTGGGGTGGTTGCACTGTTCATGGGCAGGGCAGGCAATTAAAACCAAACAGCCCAACTCTTAAGTTTCTCACTGCCATCTGTGAAAACAAGTGAGAAGATTAAGTATCTGAACTGGGGAAATTTATACTGTCTAGACCTTAAAGAAATGAGTGACCATCCCTGTCAGTAGACTGAAAACTGTGGAGAAGGGGATGACAAAGTAGAGAACTGTGGTTAGAGAGTCAGAACCTGTTGGACAGCAGCTACTGTTTGCCAGTGTCACTGCATGGATATGGAGCGGTCACGTAGTCTCTCTGTGTTTCAGGTTGTCTCATCTGAAAAACTGGGCTAAATTCCTTGAAAAAACAAAGATTGATGCCTCTTAAGAGCTGTGTATAAAAGCTCTGTATTTTGTGAATATAAGATGTTACTTCATAGTCTTTTTATCCGAAGTCTTAAGTACTTTAGTAGACATTGTTAATATTTGAGTGTCTAGAATGTATTTTGAACACTTACCTACCAATAGTATATTGCTTTATTTAAAATGAGTGTAAATTGTTTTTACATGAGCGTGTAAGTGTCTTGTGTGGTAGATTTCTCTGCTTTGTCTTTTCCTAATGGGGAAAAACTGACCAAGTAAAATGCCATTTATACATTTGAATGGCTAGTACCAGGTAACAAAAATTGTTGCTTTTCTGTTAGCCACTTATTCTAGGTTAAGGGTAGTAATGAATAAATACTAAACCTTATTTATCTACCTGTAAGATCTAAGTTTAAAAATCTTATGTAGTAAGGGTTCCTGGTCTTCATAATAAGAAGTTTGATGACTTTCCATCATACTTAAGACAAAAATTCAGAGTTCATCATGGCCTATAAAAAATCCTGTAGGGTCTGATCCCTGTCTGCTTCTCCATCTTCATCTTATACCATTCTCCCCCTCACGCTCACACCACACTGGCTTTTGTCAGGTCGTAGAATATGCCAAGTTCTTTCCGTCTCAAGGCCTGTGCCTCGGTTTTAAGTGGTAAGATCGTCATCCTTCAAGCTTTAACTAAAATGTCTGCTCAGCCTTTCCTTGTGACTGCCCTTTCTAAAGTAGATCCTTTGTTCATTATCACCAGTAGTTGTTTTTCCTTTTCTCTCTCACATCCCCCATCTAATTGGTTAACACATCCTTTGAGCTCTACTTTCAAAGCATCTAGAGTCCAGCTCCTTCTCTCCATCCTCATCTCTGCCACTCCAGTCTTGTCGTTCACATTATTCACCCAGATGGTTGCATTATCCCCCCCAAACCCCCTACCGCCTTCCTACTACTCAAAGAGCTCAGTATATTTCCGGCTTTCATCAAAGGATCCCTCCATGGAATTTACTCTGCAGACATGTACTTCAGTTACCTATGTTAGAACCAGTGCCCTTTCTTTTATCATTAAATTTTATTTCTGCAATTGCTTATAATCAGACAAATTCTATCTTCTAAGCATATATGCCTAGGAAGAGAGAGTTGAAAAAATAAGTTTTAAAATAGAAATGGGAATTCTGCTAAATGAAAGTTATGAGCTGACAAGTAATTACCTCAGAAGCTATATGTGGGCCTTGCTTAACTGGCTCTCCTTGGAGATAGACATGAAGAATAGAAAAATGAGAGCAATCTGGAGGGATGTTCTTATTATTGATATGCTTTTCCTTTTCCTGACTTAGTAATATCCCTTTAGGAGGCCAGGATCAGTAACAACAAACTGCTTTGACAGTTACATTCTCAGCAACCAGATTTCATGGGAACTTAGACTGTTGAAAGATCTGCCTATACTTTGATTCAATGGTCCATCCCCCCCAAAAAAAAATAAATAAAGGAAATTATCAGAATATGAGTAAGTCTAGCCCATGAGAAAAATAATTATGGTTTTAGATGTCACAGTGCTGAATGATCATTCCTGAACTAATGCACACCTCCCTAAAGCGGACCACTATAGGGCCTCCCCGGTGGCGCAGCAGTTGAGCGCTGGGCTGGGAAGCTGCCCGCAGCCTCTAAAGCGCTGGTTCAATCCCCAGCTACTCCCCGGCCACCGGAGGAGGGTCCCACATGGCGCGCAGACCTCTCCTGCCGCCCGCTGCTCCCCTCAGCAGTGTACTTCGGTCCTTCTGCCTGCTCTGCTCCCTGCTCTGGCTCTGGTGAATTCTCTCACCCTCCCGCGCTTCTGACTGTACCCAGTGCTTGTATAAATAAATAAATAAATCTTAAAAAAAAAAATAAAGCGGACCACTATATCTCACATCTTACAGTGTAAAGGTCTGTAAGAGAATATGTTAACTTAGTAGGAGGCTCTAGTTCAATTAAATCTTTCTTCTGTGCCATTTCACCTTCCATTGGGATCTGACATAAATTTTGTACCAAAAGTGCTCACTTGGAAAGTAAAACAACATATAACAAAACCAACTTTACCACAGACGAACTGCTTATAAATGAGTTCAGTCCCTTTTGCATATTTTTGGTCTCAAAAACATCACCATTTAACTACAACCCAAAACACTTCTATAGTGACACAATCATTTGTAATCATTCACTCATTCATTTTCCAACCTGCTTATTGCAGCTTAAGGTCACAGGTGACTAGAGCCTATACTGGCAGCTCGGGATACAAGGCAGCTCCACTCCTGTCCTGGACGGGACACTCTCCCTTTGCACGGCGTGCGCACACCCATGCCAGTGAACTTTACATGCACACCTTTGGGATGTGGGGAGGAAAGCAAAATACTGGGAGAAAACCCTGGTGGACCCGGGGACAATGTGCAAACTCTATGCAGATGCTGCTGCAGGCAAGGGGTTGCTTTTTTCTTTCTCATCAACATTATAACTAACCAGTGTTATTTGAGAACCTGCTTTATGCTGGATTAGGTCTTGGTTCCTTCTAATTTTAAGGGGTAGGCTATGTGAAATATTGAAATGAGATCATTTGGTTATTCTATGATTCACTTGTTGTGCTAGATCTCCAACTTGCTGCTGAGCTTGGGAAGACATTGCTGGATCGGAACACAGAATTGGAGAATTCTCTTCAGCAGATGTACACAACCAATCAGGAGCAGTTACAGGAAATTGAGGTAACGTATTCAATAGGAGAGTTAGCGTTTGAGATGTGACACGTACTGCTGTTGTACCAGTCACATCCTGCTAGAATAACACTTGCAATACTAAAGCAACATTTAATTTCTAATGAAGATTTTCTTTTTTGAGAATAAGAACCATTGGCAAGGGTGGGGGGGTTGAGCTCTGCCTTTTTTAGGCTTTCCAACACATAGTCTGCTGAGATGAAAGAGATTTCCCTCTTCTCCCTTAGTGAAATGTACTGGAAATAGATGGTCCAGTATTTGCGAGTATATGAACCAAAATAAAACTGTAAATATTATTTATAATTTTTTACTTTTTTTCTTAGAAAAATGAATTATGCAGAAAGGTATAAGAGGATAATAATAATGCATTGACACTACCCAGCTTAAGAAAACTACCCACACTCTGTTAAATCTCTCTTTATACCCCCTCCTTGCCTGCATTTCCCTCCATCCTAAATTTATAATTAGATGAAAAGCTTTAAATTGTACCACCTTATTTCATAATGCGTTTAAACTCTTGTGCCAAAGAGTCATAAAATAGGTGTTTATTTCCCCCTGCTGTGATCTTTATTTATTTATATTTTTAGTAGGTTTATTAAATACTATTTTCTTCGTCTAAAAAACTGAAATGAAAGATGCTAGATACAGGTTTTAAAATGGAAGGTGCTATCTTGTAAATGATCCTATTCAATTAACCCAGCGTGTATAGGCCACATAACTGTAAAGATGGTAATTACAGATACTAACCAGTGTCCCTTCAAACACTTTTCTTTCTGGCCTCTTCCCCCACCCCCGGGCCAAAGACTTGTTCCTGGGTGTCTATTTCTGTAGCGAGTCACAGTTTGGGGGACTTATCCCCGTAACTCCTCCCTCTCAAATTGGAATGGTTAGACCAGAACTTTTGTGTCTATATGAAGAAAAAAAAACAAAATATCTTAGAACTGTTAAGCAATTCATCATGATCAGAATTTACTGAGCTCTAATTATATACTGAACTATGTGCCAGAAATTCAAAGTAAAATTACTAAGCCTAAAAGATCTAAATCTTTAATGATTTTTTATAAGGTCCTTCACTCCCTTGGTTAGGTGCATTCTGAGATAGTTCTTTTGAAAGCAGTTGTGAATGAAATTGTTTTCACAATTTTTTTCCTGTTCATTTTTTGTATATAAAAATTCTATGATTTATGTCTATTGATTATGTGACCTGCTATTTTGCTGTTTCTAATAGCTTTATGCTGGCATCTTTGGGTTTTCTGTATATATAATATCCTATCATCTGTGAAGAATGATAGTTCTCAGTTATTTCTGAATCAGGATTCCCTTTATTTCCTGTTATCTGATTGCTGTAGCCCAAACCTCTAGTACTAAATTAAATAGCACTGGAGACAATGGAGGCGTGGGGGTGGGAAGGAGGATTATTACACAGCCCTTGACTTCAAGGCGATCACAATAATACACATTTCAGCTTTGGAATAAGCATAAACCTATCATCAAAATTAAGGCAAATTTGTAATCTCAATATCTATTAATTTTACATAGCTAACTGAACAAAAGTACATATCGACCTCCCTTTCATCAGAATTTATAATATAGCCACTAATGTGAAATATACTTTTATAATTTTATGAAGGTATATTGACGTTACCAGTTACCATTTGTAGCACATTCTACATCAAAAGAGGATAGCACATGCCATATCTGAAATTGAATTTGATTAATGTAGAGATTGCCAAAACCTAAAAATGCAGGGAAAACTGACATTTTTAAGCTATTAAACTGTAATACCTGGTCAAGGAACTCATTCCTGCTTTGTTTCATAGAAGTGGTTTTTTCAGCTCATAGGAAAATTTCATAGTGTTCCTAGGGCATGTGCATGAAGACTTTCATATACTATGAGAAATACTTATTTGTATTTGGATAACAACATAATCTTAATACATAGTGTTGATATTTCTCTAAAAGTGGCTCTAGAGCACTGTAACTGAGCATTAGAACTGATACGTATTTTAGCTTACTCAAATACAGATGACGAGATTCCAAATATTGTGTAATGAACAGATTGTCTATTTTAGTGTAGGAGGTTACAAACACAATTGCTTTCTAATCTGAATTACTTGTCTTTGTACCTTTTTCTTTTTATGGTATTAAGAACGACAGCATTATCAGCTCTTCCAGTTACCCCCGTTAACCAACATTCTAATGACCCAGATTAGTTTCTCTGTTTTTGTACTTTATATGAATGAGACTGTTCATTGGGGATTTTCCTGATTGGAAAAGTAGTGCATGATCATTTTTTTTAAATTGGAAAATTATATAGTTGAAAAACAAAAAGTCACTTCTTATCCTGTTACCCAGAAAAATTTTAAATGAGACAGTCCTGAAAAATGGTCCTGGAACAAACTACTCAGAGTGGATGAAGAACAACATAGAACTGGTGAAAATACTAGGGAAAAAAATTCCCCAAACTGTGACTCATTATGGAAATAGACACCCAGGAAACTGTCAAAGGGTATTTTCTAAGAGGAACTGCAAAATATTCTTTCCAAGATTGTTAATGGGTTTTGAATAGTCCTCATGAAAATTGATCAGTGTTTTATTAGGTATAATTCTTAATATTAAAAAAAAGATTAAACTATGAAAAGTGATGATTCCACTGACATCAGAGATATAACTGTATAGCCTGTGTGACTTATTTAGTGTTAGTGTGAGCATTTAATTTTTCAAGATTCGAGTTTTACCCTCCTGGATGAAGAGAAGTAGAGAGCAGTAGAGAGATGTGATGCAATGGAATTCCCTTAAATTTTTCCACAATCATGAAAGTGGCCTACAAATTTGTGTTTTTGTTGTTTCTCTGCCTGGAAACCTGTGTTGTCCCTATAGATTTGTTCTGCCATTCAAAGTATTGATAGTTTGGCCCTCTGGTTTTCCCCCATCTTTCAAGACTGCATCCCTGCCTTAAACATTTTAAAACATTTTGTGTTTCCTTTAGTACACGTAACACTAATTTATTTCATATTATACTTACTTCTTGACTTGTTTTATTTTCCTCCCTCTACTTCCCCTGGCAGCATTGAAAACTACTGCTGTGTTTATTCAAGGTTTTTTGCACCATGTGGTAGCTAATAGATAAGTACTTGAAATTAGTATCTTAACAGAGCACAGATAAACAGTTTTAGAAAACACTTCCAGTAATTCCTAAATTTTATGTTTCGCCTCTGAAAATTTTTAAAGGAGGAGGTTTTTGGAAGGAGCTCTGGCCTCAGTGCTAGAAGATTCAGGTTTAAGCCCTCAACTCTATAGCAACTAGCTGGAAACTTCTGGCATGCGAATTACCTCTTAGATCCTGCTTACTGGCTGTGTGTTGGTGATAAGAATGCTTGCACTCCATTGGTACACGGTTGTTCTGAGGAGATTATGTAAGTGTATATGTTTTGGACAGTATACATTGTTGCACAATTTATCCATGTTTTAAGAACTTTAAGTAACTACTGGGAAATAGATCTTAAAAAGAAGCTAGGCTTTTAGTAGTGAGATTATGGATGGGCATTATTTTCATGTTTATGCTTCCCTCCTCCCTGCAAAATTTCCCACAAGGGAAATATAATATTTTAATCAGGGGAAAGAGGTACTTCAAAGGTAATAGGAAATATTTATTTAGTATTGTGGAAGGTCATTTTGCTACTAAATTCAGAGGATTTCAACTGTAATCTTAATATAAGGATAATCCCAAAACTTTATAAAAGCCAAGTTTCCATTCCATTTCTTATTTGTTTTTAGTTTGGGTTATATCCTTTTTTCTTTGTGGGGATTCTGTAGCTGCCAATAGGTGTTGATATAATCCTGTGGGGTGTTTTTTTTTTTCCCGAAAAACTTGCCTCAGTTGTGAAGGTGGCCTGTTTATAGCTTTTTTCTAAGCCTTGTGCTCATAGTTGAGGTGACATTCTGTGCAAATTCCAAGACCTGCATGAGATAACCCATAGCACTTACACTTTGATACTCTTACCTATAAGTTGGTGTGTTTTGCTACTACAGGTTCTCCTGTGTTCTGGCTGCCTTGCTTACATGTCTTCCTTTCCCCTGTGTAACATGGCAAATGCTTTTGTACTTGAACTCTCTTTGGCATTTGAATTAAAATTTTTTTTCAATTTATCCTTTTTGTGTGTGTGTAGAAGAACTGGGGTGTTGGCCTGAGGTGCAGGAGGATTAAAGGATTCACCAGAGACAGTGGGGAGCAGAACAGGCAGATCTACTGAAATCTACTGCTGAGGGGAGCAGCACAGAGACAGGAGAGGTCTGCTGTGTCATGTGGGTTAGCTCCCTGGCTGGGGTTTGAACTCATGCTACTGTGGCTGGTGATAGCTTCATAGTGCTGAGACCTAACCCTCTGCACCACCAGGGAGGCCCCCCAGCATCATTTTTTTTTTTTAATATTTTTTATTTATTTTTTAATTTTTTTTTAATAGAGGCATGTTTTATTTGTTTGTTTTGTTTATACAAGCACTGGGCACAGTCAGAAGCGCGGGAGGGCGAGAGAACCCACCAGAGCCAGAGCGGGGAGCAGAGCAGGCAGAAGGACCGAAGCACACTGCTGAGGGGAGCAGCGGGCGGCAGGAGAGGTCTGCGCGCCACCTGGGGTCCTCCTCTGGTGGCCGGGGAGCAGCCGGGGATCGAACGGGCGCCGCAGAGGCCGCGGGCAGCATGGCAACCCAGCGCTCAACCGCTGCGCCACCGGGAGGCCCCCCAGCATCATTCTTATGCTGAAAAACTGATAGCCTTTCCACTAAGATCCAGTGTAACTAGAGGATGTCCGCTCTCACTCCTACTATTCAACATAGTTTTGGAAGTCCTAGCTAGAGCAGTTTAGGTAAGAGAAGGAAATAAAATGAATCCAAATTGGGAAAGAAGAAGTATAAAGCTATCATTATTTGCAGAGGACATAATAATATATAGCGAGAACCCTAAAAAAAACCATAGAAAAACTAAAACAAACCAGTTCACGGGCCTCCCCTAGTGGCGCAGCGGTTGAGAGCTGGGCTGCGAGGCTGCCCGCAGCCTCTGCAGCGCCGGTTCGTTCCCCGGCCGCCAGCGAGGGTCCCACAAAAAAAAAAAAAAACAAAAAAAAAACAGTTCAGCAAAGTGGCAGGTTACAAAATCAAAAATCAGTTGCCTTCTTATAGGAAAACAATTAGCTGGAAGAGGAAGAAATTAAGAAAACCATCCCATTAACAATCATACCAAAAAAAAATTAATACCTGGGAATAAACCTAACAAAGGAGGTGAAGAAGAATATCTTTAAAAGAAAACAAACTCACCTGTTTCCTTCTAGATCAGAAAAAAGTTGATAGATACTGATTTGAACTTTCAGAGGCCAAGCCTTAGGGCAGTGTCTGACTGCACAGGTTTTTAATTCTATAGTCTTAAATCAGCACTTGCTGAGAGAGCTAATAAATGTTGACCAGTTTAGTCAGAATCCTTTGTTAGGAGAGTGAGAGTCTCGGAGAAGTGAAGGATTTTTCTGATTAGTTTTGATCTTAATAAGATTAAACTCCTACCATGTGAAAATAAATTCCCTGCCATTCTTTAGATAGTCCTTAAAACCAGGTTCTCTGAGACAAAAATATTTTTCTAAATGGTTTCATTGTATTTTTACCACAAGTTATTAGAGGAGGAGAGCTTTCTGAATGATTGCATTGGAGACTGGTTGCTGAAAAAACCAGTGAGTGTGTTCAGTCGGTCAGAACTATCACTCAACCCCTCAGCTCTTGGGGAGGCATCAGGGCTGGAGGTTGAATCTAACCACCAATGGCCAATGAGTTAGTCAACCATGCCTGTGTAATGAAGCTTCTATAAAACTCTGAAATGAAGCTGAGAGGGAGTTTCTGGGTGGATGAGCACCACATGCTCCTCACCCCACAGCTTGCCCTGTGCATCACTTCCATTTGACTGTGAGTTGTGGTCTTCATGATAAATCAGCAAGTATAAGTAAAGCACTTTGTGAGAGCTGTGAATTCATGTAGCAAATTATTGAACCTGAGTAGTGGTCATGGGAACCTCCAAATTTATAGCCTGTTGGTCAGAAGTAAAGGTGTCCCCTGGGGCTTGTACCTCAAACTCAAGCAGGGGTAGTCTTGTGGGACTGAACCTTTATAACCTGAGGGGTCACTGATGCCAGGTGATTAGTGTCAGAATTTAATTGAATTGTAGCCAGCTGGTATTGGTGTTGGGATACTACAGGTATTTTAACTGTTTCATGTATAACCTGGTCACAACCATCTCTTTTACAGTATCTGACCAAGCAAGTGGATCTTCTCCGACAGATGAATGAACAGCATGCAAAAGTTTATGAGCAATTAGATGTCACAGCAAGAGAACTGGAAGAAACAAATCAAAAGCTAGTTGTTGAAAGCAAGGCTTCACAGCAAAAAATTCTGAGGTAAATTTCTAGAATCCATTCAGGAAGCCCTAGAGGGAAGTTACTTAGTATAAACTAGAATAGAATATGGCTGTTGTGGGTTTGGGTCAGTATGAGTAAGATTTAATTTAATTTTTTGTGGAGAACAGAGATAAATGTAAGTCCTTTCTACTTAAGGAAGCCCAGTTTGAGTGGCTGGCAGCTAATCTCTCCTCACTGCTTATGCCCTTAACTTAATATGACAAGCAGCAATTGGCTCATGTCTTTCCTCACAGTCTGACCGAAACAATCGAATGCCTACAAACCAACGTTGATCACCTCCAGAGCCAAGTGGAGGAGCTGAAGTCATCTAGCCAAGGGAGAAGGAGCCAGGGGAAGTGTGAACAGGAGAAATCGGCGCCCAGCTTCTCCTGTCCGAAAGAGCTGTATGACCTCCGCCAGTAAGAACCTGACTTCCTGTGGCACTCACAAGCCCTTATTTACACACTTTGGAATCCAATAGATTAAAAGTATCCTTTAAAGAAACACTTTCTATAAATACTTCCTAGTATACAAAACCACTTATACAAGTTACAGAGTTTGGGGTGTTAGAATTCTTGAAAACTCTTTTTAAAGTCTTGGGACCATTTATTTCAGTGTTTTTAGTATGTTAAAACCTAGTATGTTAGTGTTTTTAAATGTTAAAATGTAGTACTTTATAGGCTACATATTTGGGGTTGTTGCTTATGTTAGAGTGAAGAAAAATTTCAAATTTCAGTGGAAGAAATCCAGAAGAATGGAATTTTTTTTTTCCCTGCAGATGTGCCTTCAATTTAGTTAGGAGATTTACTTTGAATTATTATTTTTCGAATTTGTTGAATGGCAAGTGCTATCTATGTCAGACATGACGAGGGTGAGCAAAATCATAGAGTTCCTGCCCTAATAGGGTTTTCAGCCTCCTGGGAGGCAGAGAAGCACATAATCACAAATACAATTGCCAGTTGGCTGGCACTCTGGGCAGGACAGAGACCAGTTCATGCACCTGGTGATTTTCAACCCTGGCCATTAATCAATCGGCTCAACTGGGGGGGTTTCTCAAACTGTGATACCTGTGACTGTCAAGCCTAAAACAGAATCTGTAGGTGTGGGGAGAAAGCTGTGTGATCCTGATGTGCATTTCTTGGTTAAAAATCAGTATGGGGCCTCCCCGGTGGCGCAGCGGTTGAGCACTGGGTTGCGAAGCTGCCCGCGGCCTCTGCGGCGCCGGTTTGATCCCCGGCTGCTCCCCGGCCACCAGAGGAGGGTCCCACATGGCGCGCAGACCTCTCCTGCCGCCCGCTGCTCCCCTCAGCAGTGCACTTCGGTCCTTCTGCCTGCTCTGCTCCCCGCTCTGGCTCTGGTGAATTCTCTCACCCTCCCGCGCTTCTGACTGTACCCAGTGCATGTATAAACAAAACAAACAAACAAACAAAATAAATAAATAAAACATGCCTCTATTAAAAAAAAAAAAATAATAAAATAAAATAAAATAAAAATCAGTATGGCTTTGGTTCTCGACCTTAGTTGGATATTATGAATTCTATGGAGAACTTGAAAAACAAACAAAAGCCCAAGTCTAGACTAACTAGGTCAGCATTGAAGGGAGGAGGGCCCAGGCATCAATTTTGGTATCATTCCCCAGGTGATTCTTACCTAGAGTCAAGGTAGAAAACCACTGGGCTGTTGTGATTTCTTCCAAAAGGAGCAGCCACACTACCTGTGGTGGATGTTTGGTAGTGCTTGTGATGTTCTTATAAAGTTAGTCACAAAAAATAATTTTTCGTAAATACATTTGCCAGCCTTATACAATTTCATTTTAGCTACTGCTCTAGTGTGGTCTAGGCAAAAAGTCATCATCACTGTCAAAATTCCTCAGTATTTAGTTGGGGAAAAAAAATCAATTTCTCCCTCTTTTCATTCTCAGTGACCTGTGTAATATATTCTTTCAATGTTTTCCCCCTAGACACTTTGTGTATGATCATGTGTTTGCAGAGAAGATTACTTCCTTGCACAGTCAACAAAGCCCTGATGAAGAAGAAAATGAGCATTTGAAGAAGACAGTGACAATGTTGCAGGCCCAGCTGAAACTGGAGCGGGAGAAGCGGGTGAATGTGGAGGAAGAGTATGGTCTTGTGCTGAGGGAGAACAGCGAACTGGAACAGCAGCTCGGCGCCTCGGACGCCTACCGAGCCCGGGCGCTGGAATTAGAGGCAGAGGTGGCAGAGCTGCGGCAGGTACTGCAGTCAGAACACCCTTTTGTGAATGGGGTTGAGAAGCTGGTGCCAGACTCTCTGTTTGTCCCTTTCAAAGAGCCCGGCCAGAGCCTGCTGGAGGAGCTATTTCTGCCTATGCCCGAAGTACATAGAAAGCCTCTCAAGCGCAGCAGTAGTGAGACGGTGCTGAGCAGCTTGGCAGGGGGCGACATCGTGAAGGGCCACGAGGAGACCTGCATCCGCAGGGCCAAGGCTGTGAAGCAGAGGGGCATCTCCCTTTTGCATGAAGTGGACACTCAATACAGCGCCCTGAAGGTGAAGTATGAAGAGCTGCTGAGGAAGTGCCAGAAGGAAGAGGACTCCCTGTCCCACAAGGCTGTGCAGACCTCCAGGGTGTCTGCCAAAGACCTGGCTGGGGCAAACACCCAGCCTGAACCTGGTGCCGGCAGCTGGGAACCAGCCCCTGTCACCCCAGAGTCCATCGGTTCCCCTACTGCCACATCACCTCCTGAATACAAAGCGCTTTTTCAGGAGATCTTTAGTTGTATTAAGAAAACTAAGCAGGAAATAGATGAACAGAGAACAAAATACCCATCTCTCTCCTCTTATTCCTAACTGAACTTCCAGCTCTGCTACTACCGTCCTTCTTTCCTGTCACCTCAAGTGTTCGTAGATCCCAGAGCCTGACGTTGCTCATGACATTGCCTCATTATCTTGCTTATGTAGCAAATGCGTACAGCCAGGGAAGAACAACTGATGTCAGTTCCCTATAATCCAGTTCCTTCTAAGCACCTCAGGAAATAGACAAACTGGCCTCTGGCTGGCGCACTGAGGAGACTGATTCCTTGAAAAGCCCCAGAAGCAGTGGAGGGAAGACCTAAGCCCCCGGAGAAGCAGGCCTGGAGTTATCATGGTATATAGTATTACACGTAAGGTGTACGTGTGTAGGGGGACAGGACAGAGCTGAGACGAAGCTAAGGCCATTCCTACTGCCTCTTTGCTTAACTTCTCAAAACTATACAAAAATCAGACTACTGCCAAACTGAAATATCTTTCGCAAACACTGTTGGATACTGTGAATTCATTATGAAGAATGTTCAGGAGAAAGCAGGGGTCTAATCCAAAATAGATGGGATTAGCAAAAACTCCAGGCCTTTGGGTTTTACATCTGCTACCAGTTGATCTGTGACTGAGAGTAACCCTAGTACTTTGGCAAGCACTGGTTCGACCAAAGGTACCATGTTCGCCTATGCCCTAGAGGTCCTCCACCCCCACATTCTGAGGTTTTTATTTAGAACTACGGTGGCTAGGAAGGGCATATATATAAATCATTCCTTTCTTAAATTCAAGCTAAAGGACAAGATAAGACCCTTGGCTCCTGCTGTGCTGTCTGAGATGATTAGCCCATCAACCACAAGCTGTTCTTGCTCGGCTCCTATCATTCTGTAAATGTTTTTGACTTGCTGCAGAAATTCCTCTCTGCTGCTTTATTACAGTATTGATGTTCTGACTCTGGAAATATACTTGTCCATTCACTTGCATACTTTTAATTTAAAACTATTTAAGAGAACTGAGGTTCCAGTTATTGTATATATTTTTCTAAAAACCAAATAAAACTACCTATGAAAATGAACAAATGGATTTAGTGCTTGTTATTTTAAGCTTAAGTCATTTCACTATTGTAACCAACTACCCACATTTCCAACAAATAACTAGGAAAATTTGATTGTTGATTTCCCCCCTCCCTCATTTCTTGTAAACAGGTCCTTGGGATTGTTTTTTGCTCATATTGATGCTGTTAAAATTACTAGATGTTTTTAAAAAAAAACACTTTCAGTTTATACTATATAATTCTTGTCATTTTAGAAATGTCAGCTTGGTTCTGAATGATAATAGCATTTGGCTAGTTGATTCTCACAGTATTTGATAACTCAGTTGTAGAAAAGAAACTTCACAGCATTAAGATACTGAATCTCAATCAGTTTTGCTGTTGGATTATTCAAGTTTAAAAAAATGGATGAGACATTTTCTTCAGAATAGATATGTAACATTTATATAGTCCCTGGAGGGTGGATTGTCGCTATTACCTATTAGTAAGTGGATAGCTATATATGTCTTTGGACAGTTATGAGTCTAGGAGATAAATTATTAGAAGTGAAATGAAAAAGGATGAGAGCATTTTGCTGGGCTTAACCATTTTCCGTAAGTTTACTGATACATCTACCAGCTCCTGTCAACAATATATGAGGATTAAAAAAAAAAAAACAACAATATATGAGGATGCCTATTTTCTCATACATGTATCGGTAAACTTTTTGAGCTTTTAGAAAGTAAAGTAGAAAAATGGTGTTTCCTTGAAGTTTAAAATTTCATGTTTTTTTATTAATAAGGTTGAATATTTTTTAATCTGTTAAGCCACTTGTGTTGTCATTTACCATGTTTCCCTATCTAAGAGTGCTAGTATTTAGGGCAGTCTCTTTTGCAATTCCACTTTATCTTGTTATTGGCATTATGCCAAACATGGTCTCTCCTGGAAAATACCCCTTGTGTACTAGAGAGGAACACGTATTCTGTTGTTGGATAGCGTGTGCCCTGCAGGCTGCTACATCTAGCTGGTTTATTGTTAGGTCCTCCGTTTCCTTTACTTCTGGCTGGTTTCATCCTTTATTGTGACTGGAGCACTGACGTATCTAACTGCTATTGTAGAACACTATTTTCCCCATTAATTCTGTCTGATTTTGTATTTGGATGTTCTATCATTCATTATGTACATGTTTATAATTATGCCTTTTTGCTGTATCAAATTGTTTATTAATACACATCCTTGTAATCTTATAAACTTTTTAAAGTCTCTTGTCTAATAGAAAAGTTAGTTCCCCCTTTCTTTTGGTTATTTGCATATTTTTCTATCCATTTATTCTGTCTTGAATCTTAAGTGAGTGTAGACAGAATATAGTTGGAGCATATATATTTATTCATTCTGCCAACCTGTCTAGGTTGGAGCGTTGAGTTCATTTACATTAATATGGAAGGACTTACAAGTCACTGTGCTGTTTGCTTTCTGTAATACTCTGTAGCTCTTTTGTCCATTTGTTGTATTCTTGTCTTTTGTGTCTAGCTGACTTGTTTTGTAATGAAATGTTTTAATTCCTTCTCATTTCCTTTTGCGATTCTTGTAGGGATTACAACTGTTTTCTTTGTGGTTATTATAGGGACTTCATGTAACATCTTAAAGTTATAACACTCTGAATGTATAACATTTTAATTTCAATAACAAAAAAATTTCCTTTGCAGCTGTCTCCATCCCTTTCATTTATTAATGTCACAAAATTGTATCTATAGTATCCCAAAATATAAACTAATTCTTTCAACTGCATTAACCTCTTAAGTTATGTAGAAAATAAAATTTGGAGTTACAAGTCAAAGTTGCAGTAATACTAGCTTTTACACAAACTTTAGTATTGGGTCTTTGAGGAATATCTGCTGTTTTGTTTGATTTATTCCTTGAATCGGCCATACTTTCTTATTTTTATATGAATTGTGATTTTTTTTTTTGAACACTGGACATTTGAGTCTAATTATATAGTAACTCTGAAAATCAGATCCTCTCCCTTTGTCAGGGTTTCCTGGGGAGTGAGGATGAGGTGGTTAGGGGGATGTGTTTATTTTTTAGATTGTTGAAGGTGGTGTCCATAAATCTACGTTCTTCTCAGATCTTTTCTGATTCTTTCCCTCGGGATGCATAATCACGTTCTTATTTTCCCTGTTACATGCCATCATTTCCGAATGTTCTAGTCTTTAATGTCTAACTTTTCAGAAGGGAAAAGGTAAATAAGCTGCAGGGAATGACTGAACCTTTAAATTCCCTGGTAGTCATTTCAGCCTTAAGGGTAAGGGCTTGCAGCTATGGGGTTGGTGCAACAGTAATGACTGCCCTCTTATTTGCATCTCAGTAATGAGAAGCAGCTATCTGGGCATAGATCCTTATTCTGAGGGCAGAGTCCTGCCCGCTTCAGTCCCTGCAAGCTGGTATAAACTGCTCCTGTGCACGGCTGCCTCCTGTGCAGTCCAGGGGGTGAGAATGCGTTAATTGCTACTATGCTAAGAGCGGAAATTGGCCAAAATTAACTGCAATCTACAGTTCAAGTGTTCTCCTGTAAGTCACAAGCCTGACTCCACGGTTCCAAAAATTGGATTCTGCAATTTAGGCAGGATAAGAGATTCCTGGTGCTTCCTATTCTGCCATCTTCTCAGAAAGAAGCCTTCTAAACTTACCTATTTCCTATCACTTGAAATGCTGTCTGAATCAAGTACTAAATTTCTAAATGAATTTGAACCTTTTTCTGTGCAGGGATTTTAATTTCATGCAAACATGCAGTTTTTAATTGCTGTATTTTCCTAACTAGCAAGGGAAAGTTACCCTAATTGCCCCATTATATTCCTCTATTATATTTTGCCTGGTTTTTCAATATCAACTTTAAAATTGGCTTATGATTCTTGGGGCGGGTAATTTATTGATCAAGCTAGAGAAACAGGTTAAGACTATGACAGAGGGCCTCCCCTGGTGGCACAGCAGTTGAGCTCTGGGCAGCGAGGCTGCCCGCAGCCTCTGCAGCACCAGCTCAATCCCCGGCTGCTGGCACGTGTCCCGCATGGCACGCAGACCTCTCCTGCCACCCGCTGCTCCCTTCAGCGGTGTATTTCGTCGGTCTGCCTGTTCTGTTCCCTGCTCTGGCTCTGGTGAATCCTCTCACCCTCCTGCACTTCTGACTGTACCCAGTGCTTGTATAAATAAATACATCTTTAAAAAAAAAAAGACTGACAGAGGTTTTGGTCTCAAGAAATGGGCTTATGCTTTCGTATTTGTTCATTGGTCTTTTGTCTGTTTTAATATTTTTATCACTTAGGTCCTGCACATTTCTCAAGGTTCATCTCCTGGATGTCGTGAGATCATTTTTATATTTTCTAATTACTTAAATATAGAGAAGCTTCTATCAGCTATTTTGTTATCACTGAGAATAGCTCAGTTGATTCTGTTAATATTACTGAAAAAATTAATTTTAACTCCTTTGATAGAGCATGGCGGTTTTAACATTTTTGTTTAACTTTTGTTTTTGTTATTAAAGTAAGACTGATTTCTAGCACTGCTCTGGGGTGGAGGCTCACATCTCTACAAATGTATGTTGTTCTACCGCCAAAGCCCCAGTAGTGAATGGTGGTGTTGGCTTTTTATTAATTAACAATCCATCTGTCCCTTTTTAAAGAGCTTTTATCAGGAATGGAGTGTACATTTTGATCCCTAAGATAATTTTTCATTCATCCTATCCGCATTATAATGAGCTTTATTAATGATCTGGGATATCACCCTTGCATTTTTGTTACAGGAGTTATTCCTAATAACATGTCAGTGTAATCATTACAGAGGGTTATTCATATGCTATCTTTGTCAGGGTTTATAATCAATACTTTATAACAACTTGGAGGCTCATTATCTGCTAAAGTTTAACTCTGGTGGTGTTTGTCTTAAAGATTTTGTATAACTTAACCGTGATATCGGGACCTTTTCTTCTCTCCCAGTCTTGCAAGCTTTTCTTTCCAACCAGTATTAATAATTCATTTTCCTTATAAATCATCTAACTCCTCTTTCCCCCTCACAGTGTACCATTTCCTTAATTGACTATTGACATAGATTTTTACATTATTTAATTTTTTAACAACTGTTTTCTCCTTCATTCCTTAAAATTTTCTAGCTAATATTTAAATTCAATATTTAACTCATCCCTCTTTATTAGTTGAAGGGACTGGTGCCCCCTGTGAGCTCTGTGCCCCAGAAGTTCTGCCCTGTCTCCATAGCACCATGAAGCATTCGCCTTTGTAGTGCAGCTGGACATGCTCCAAATCAACTTTGGCAATTTAGAACTTTTCCAGCTCATATGTTAACAATTAGAATCAAGAACACAATATATAATCAACCTGTTGAACTATGTTATCAAATATTAGATGTTTTTCTTTTGGGGGAGGAGAAAGAAAAGACCATTACCTAAACTTTCAGACAGCAGTGGTTCCAGTTCCCAAAACGAATTATCACAAAAGCCTTATGGAGCAAAATTTTGCATAACACGCAACCCACCCTGCTTGTATTTTTTCATAATCTAGTAAGGTCTGCACTGTCCAAAAAGGCCTACACTAGCAAAACGGGGCAACTGAGCACTTAAATTGTGTCTAGTCCAAATTGCAAATGTAAATATAAGATTCCAAGATTTCAAAAACGTAGTTAAAAAAACTTATATTAAGGGTTGGTTTTTTAGCGGTATTAGGTTAATCAGTTTCTTTTACTCTAACATGCAGTTCTAGTGGGCAGCGCTGCTCTAAGGAATTATCCCTCCCTCTGACGTACAGACAACCTTGCCTTCTTGTAACCACTTGAAGACCAGCACCAATATACCAGGTTAGTGTTAGCATTTATTTTAAAAATACACAAAATATAAATTTTTTACATCAAAGTGTGATAACCTCACTTATACATTGTTCCATACTTACCTGGTTTGGTTTGCATCATTACAGAAACATTAAGAACAGATGGATTTGATTCTGATTTTTTGCTATGGTTCATGTAAACAGTTGAGACTGCTACATAAAGTGGGTTGTTTTAAAAGGGTCAAGTGGCCACAGAAACCCAACAGTAAAACAATTCAATTTGGTTTGTTTAATTGGCAGAAGTCTTAGCAGATA